GCACTGTGCAGCTCCCCGTCGTCCAGTCGATCCGTGGGTTGTACCGTCGCAGCCAATCACGTCCCAATAAAATGTCGTGCCCATCCAGTGTCGTCGCGAGCATTTCCTGTGTAAACCCGAAGTTCCCCCCGCAGCGGACTTTTACGCGCTCCACCTTTTCCCGTATGGCCAGGGGCGTGCCGTCGACTAAGCGTGCATCTATCTCAGGTAAACATCGGTTAAGCGTTAACTGTAATTTTCGTGCGGTTGCGGTATTAATTAAGCTGTGGCTTGCTCCTCCGTCAATGAAGATCTTCACTGCTGCTCCCTGTATTTTCCCGTAGATCAGTACCGGGCAATCCGTCGCTGTACCCTCCTTATTCATCCGAGCCCGATCGATGGCGTGAATCGGTACTGTGACTCGGTGAGGGTCGGTGTGGTTGGGCGAGCAGGCAGTCTCGTCAGTAGTTGGCCCAACTTCTACTGACTGCTGGCGTTTCCTTGCCTCCGAGACTCCCTCCCCTGCTCTGCTCCTCGACGCCTCAGCTCCTCTAGACATTCGCTCTTGCGATGGCCCGGCCGGTTGCAAGCAAAGCAGCGCCCTCTAAACGGCGCGGCAGCTGCATTCGCTGCGACGGCATGTACAGTGGCGTGCTCGGTCGGTCCCCGAGGACGATGTCCGTAATAGGACCCCGGTCTCGGTCGGCGTAGGATATCGATTTTCTCGGCGAGCGCGAGGATCTCGTTGAAATTCGAGAGCCCGCGTAGCATTATCTCGTGCGAGATGTCCGGCTTCAGCCCTCCGACGTAACGGTCCACCCGCTCCGCCTCGTGCATGTAGCCGACCTGTTCGCAAAGTGCGAGAAACCCGCTGGTGTAGTCTTGAACTGACCCGAGCTGGCGCCAAGTGCACAGTTTCTGACGCGCCGAAATCGAGGCCGCGATCGGCTCAAAGCGCGCCCGAAGCCCTGCGCACCACGCATCCCACGTGCTGTATTGGGCGGTTTCGCAGAACGAACTCCAGGTAACAGCTGGACCCGAGGGCCCTTCCTCGTGCGACGCTGGCTCGTAGGCGCGCGGCGACGTCACAATGACTCGCCACCAGTCCATGGCGGGGCCCCTGAGTAGTGAAACCGCATACCGGATCTTGGCGGCGTCCGACTCGACGTAGTTGGCGTCGAAAAACACATTCATCGTGAAGACCCACGATTGAACTGTCGGGCCGCCGCGTTGGCTTGGGTCGAAGCAGGGCGGGCGTTGCGGCTTGAGTGGCATTGGGGCCATCATGGCGTTCTCGCCACTTGTCGCCGCAAACTCCACGTGCCGACGGGCTTCTCGGGGCTCCCGTGGGCTTAGTGCGCTCCTGTTCCCTCCCATGCCGGGCATCGGTTGGGCTGCGCCGTCACTGGCTGCGCCTGAGCGCTGTCCCGTGCTGTTGTGTTGCGTTGGTGTGCCGGATGAGATGACGATGGGCTCCTCCGAATGTGCAGATGCATTGGTTGGTGCGTGTGATGGCGTCGGTACGTTCACCGTTGACTGTTGACGGGCGGAGTCACGTTCCGCCGTGAGAGTCGCGATTTCGAGCGCCGAATCCTTCAATTGACGCACGAGACGATCGAGTTGCTCCTGCGTCAACGTGGCGAGATTGAAATCGGCCATGGCGGGGGTGTCGGGCAAGCTCAGCGAGAGCCTCGGTCGTGGTCGTGCGTGCTTTCGAGAGAGCACTACGAGCGGCGGTGCTGTGTCGCTGAGAGACGTCTACCCCCCCCAAAAATTGAGATAGTGGGAAGCGAAGGTGTGGATGCGGTCCGAGATGAGATCGTAGGCTCTGAATCAGGGCCTACGATATCAGGAATTTTCCCCTGAAATTCCTGATTTCCAGGGTTTTTTTTTTAGCTAGCCTGATTTTCCAGTGTTCAGCTTTTAGTGGGGCTGATTTTTCAGCCTTTACCTAGCACATGACTCTGAAATTTCAGCAATTTTTTCCAAGTGACACTGATGCCACTACGTTGTAACGAATCCGACCCTGAAAGCGATTCCTACACGGGCCGAGTGTAGTTGCCCGGCTGTACTAGGAATATCAGATTCCCGCGGTGTCAGCAGGGCGTGGCGGTGAGTAGAAGACAAATTTGCCCTCGACCAGGGATGCATTGTTGGCGCGCGTGCTGCGATGATTGGCCACTTTGACAGCATTTCCTGATTTGGCCAATCACGGGGTTGCAGAGCAACGAGAGATTCAGGCCCATGTGATGCACATGTGGACCTGTGGCCCTGTGGCCCGGATTGTCGAAGACGTACTGGCAAGAACGGATGCATCCACGCCGCCCTGCTGTGCTACCAGCCATCCAATCTCCCACCCCAGCCTGCTCCTGGCTTTCCTTCCATCTAGCAAGGGTACGGTTTCAACGTGTTGCTGCCTGGTGGTGTACCAAGAGGCAGTCAGCCGTGTTTTCTCTCTTCCTGGCAAACCTCCGTTAGGCTAGCTTGGTAGTGCCGTTAGATGCTGCTCGTTTGCGCTGCAGCCAATGGCGGACCACCCGGACGCCATTGAACGACCTGATGACCACGACGATGAACCCGCTCGTCGTTCGCCAATCGATCTGTCCGCGGCAGTTACCGGACTCGATCTGCTATTCTCCAGCTTAGCGGCAGTAGATAACCATGGAAAGGATCCTGCAGTCGCGCCGACCGTCAACATCCCGTTTGAACCAATCGACGAGCCGCTGTGTCCCTCCCCAACTGCGCTCGTGTTGGAGCAAGACAGCTGCAACCCTGCAGGTGAAGAATCTGCGGCGGTACCTGTGGCTAAGAAGTCCGCCAAGTACATGCAGTCAACGATTCCGTGGGGCAAGAAGGGAGGCACCGTTGGAGCAGCACCGGCTTCGCCAGCCGACCAACGGTCGATGCCCGCGACCGCAGGCACGCAGGCGTCGCCCTCAACACCTGGGCCTTCTAAACCTGGGCCTTCCAAACCAGCAGGGCCAGACGCAACTTACGCCGAGGCTCTGTACAAGTACAAGAGCGAGTGGCAAGAACGATTTCCTTGGGTCATACTGCTAAAAAAGGCTGACGGTTTCCCTGCTTTCAGGTGCAGGATCTGTACGGAGCATGCAGGCTACGCTGGACCGTGCGGGAGAGGCGGAAAGGGCGCCACAGACGTTCAGACGCAGGCGTTCAAACGGCATGCGGCAACTACGAAGCACAAGGAGGCGTTGAAACACCAGAAGAAGCTACTCGACGAAGCATCCACGCAGCCACGGATCAACAGCGACAATCTCGCTCGCGACACGAAGAAGGAGCGTGTCAGCAGGCTCCTCGACTCGCTGCTCTTCGTGACCAAGCAAGATGCACCCATAGAGTTATGGGTGAATCTCGTGCGCTACCTCGCGCGACTGAAGGTGCCTGGGTTCCCCGCTAAGGGCTACGGTACGTATTACACGACGTGAGTTACCGTTTTCTCGGGTTGCAACCGTGTATATGTATATTAATAACCGGTCTAACATTGTGTTGTTTGACCTGCGCTGCAGATACGGCTTTGGGCAGCTGACTCAGTCGATGGCTACATGGTTAGCTTGCTTGCTAGCAAGATAGGATTTGGTTTGAATTGAAGGCTGTTTGCATGCTTCGTATTGTTTTTAACTTAAAATAAAGATTACTACTGCTATCACCCATTTTCTGTGGGGGACACTGATAGATCAGACTTTTTTATTAAGTAACACTGAACTTTCAGGCTTTTTTCCAAGACGACCCTGACGATCAGGGTCTAGGGGCAGAGGAACCCTGATACCCTTACGTGCCTCAAAGTGAATCTGAGGCCCTGCTCTGAATACCAAGTGTTACGAGTGCAATTGGGTGAACGAACGAGAATTGCACTATCGAAGCAAGAATACAAATGAGCGAAGGCATGAGCGAACATTATATAGCGAAACTACAGTGGTAACGGTAATGGTCGCGCGACGAGCCTGGGACTGTGGTTGGGAAAATGTCGAAGCGTAGGTCCGGAGCGCGGGTTACCAGCCGAGCCGTGAGGTCGGGATGCGATGTGCGAAAAGGGCGGGATGATGAATGATGCGATGGTCGCGAGTGGTAACGGTGCTGACTGAGGTGCTACAGTGATGTACGCGTTGAGCAGGGACGCGAAGTAAGGAAAAGGGAATTTCCTTACACTGGGCCTCCAAATGTAGCTTTACAAAATTCCAATTCGGGTAAAACAAAACGGCCGATACACAATCGTTTTCCCATTTCAAGCTGTGTTTTGGGTATATTTTTGGGTCTATTCTGAAATCTCACCGTTTCTAGTATGTATCAAATCAGGAAGCTATTCTATCTTGGAATTTGAAATTGCTCAAATCTTGACGTCCTGCTGTTTTGTGCCATGCTGGTCTGGAACGAGGCAGACGACAGAGCGTATGTTAGTACTCCTTTCCGTGAAATTATTGCAGCCATATCACCACCCCTTACACGCCACGGGACGGGACGCTCACGGCCCCAGGCCGACATGGCTGCTCTCGCCTCGTCTCGCCAGTCCGTCACGGACTCACGGCGGACCTTCGCGCTGAGTGCCGGCAAAATTTGCAGCGCGATGTGGTGGACACGATTATGGGAGCAACGCGTGATTATGGACACAGTTTAGGTCTCGATCCGATGCAGAGATTATGCGTGAGGTCCATCGGAAGAAGCGCCATCGCCAGCCTCCAGCCTCCTGCCTCCAGCTTCCAGCCTCCTGCAGTGTCGTTTTCGTGGTGTCTGAAGTCGGTATATACGTAGTGGGTGGGACCTTTGATTCAGCATCGAACCCGACTCCTAGCCAGTCCGTCACTGCTTCAATCCGTCGCTGCTTCAGAGTCCGTCGCTGTTGAATTCGATACCCCTGTCCATATATCGCCCAGCGAAATCACCGCTACGCCGCTTTCTGCTACGAGGCTAACCTAGTTCACCTACTCACCGGTCGCTACAGAACTATAATCCACTTCCGGCCCGAGCACCAATCAGCTGTGCGACCACTTTCAGTCCACGTCAGCATGACTCAGATGGGACATTCCAAGGCCGCAGCAGCCGCGTTGATCGCCGTCTCCATCCTCCTCGGTACGCCTCAGCCTTCCACCACCCTCCCTTTCAACATTTCTCGTGTCAAGCCCGCAGGCAGGCAGGCGTTTACGCCTCATGATGCTTGTGTGGAGTTCATAGCATGCGAGATTCAGTCCCCAGCGTCCCAGCGTCACGGAATGCGTCACGGATGCTCGTGTGGAGGGAGGAGTACACAGAATCCGCGATTCAGTCCCCAGCGTCACGCTCATTCCGTACACTTTCGCGAGCGATCCATACACTTTCGTGAGCCATCCGTGACTGAGTTTTGCGCTTCCCGTTCTGACACTGCCCTTCTCCGCCCGCCATCCTCGCAGCGATGGGAGCAAATGCGGCTGCTGCCTCCGACGTGGTTCCCGTGGAGCTGCGAGTGGGCACGGTGGTGCTCGCCGGCTCGCTCGTTCTGACCATTTCCTTTTCCTTTCTGTCTTCGCCCTTCTGACATCCTCGCAGCGACCGTCAGCATGTCGATGGGAGCAGATGCGGCTGCGGCAGCCAGCGACGTGGTTCCTGCGGAGGTGCGCGTGGGAACGGTGGTGCTCGTGGGCTCGCTCGCTCAACCCGAGCCCGTCTACTTCGACTATAACCGCTGTGTGCCCGCGCCTGAGATCGCCAAGGGGGCGAGCAGCGGCGGTGGTGGAATGGCGGATGTGCTGGTGTGGTGGGACGTGTTTTCGGAGCGCACTATGTGCAACGCGGTGCAGCTGTTTGCATCGCCTGACTGCTCGGGGGCACCCGCAGCAAAGTACCAAAACACAGCGTACATGAGGTGAGCACTGGGGGGGTGCATGAGGTGAAAATTCGAAGTGTACTTGAGGCAAAGTACCAAAACACGCGGTACATGAGGTGAGCACTGGGGGGGTACACGAGGTGAGCATTTCGAGGGTGAGCAGTCAGCGAGATTCATCTGATACGAGCTGGTTTTTTAGAATTCTCAAAAACCATTGCGGGGGTGAGCAGTCCGGGAGATTCATCTGTTTATTCTGACTGACGTGAATTGAAGCTCCTTCGTTTCTCCTGCTCGCCGGCACGTCTTGCTCGCATGCCACTTCCTCACGCACCCTTGCTTTCCCCCCATCCATTCCTCAATTCCCTCCCAACCGTTCCCCATGCGCCCCTCCGCCTGTGCGCACATGTGAGCAGTACGTTCAAGTTGGGCGCATCAGTGAAGTCCATCTGCTGCGTTGACTTTTCAGTTGACTCAAAAGCCCCTCCCACGTGCCCCTCCCCACCCCCCTTCCCATGTGCCCCACTCCCTGTTCACGTGTGTGAGGAGTGCTTTCAAGATGGGCGCATCAGTGAAGTCCATCCGTTGCGTTCTCAGTGTTTGAAACACCTCAAAAGCCCCATGCGTCGATACCTACACGCCCTGAACCCTCCTCCCGTGCGCCCCTCCCGCTGTGCGCACATGTGAGCAGTACGTTCAAGATGGGCGCATCAGTGAAGTCCATCCGCTGTGTTCTCGGTGCGTGCCCTGCTGCAACCATGCTGCTGCTGCTGTCTGAGCCTACATGCACTTTCAGCCATACATGCACTTTCAGCCTACATGCACTTTCAGCCATACATGCACTTTCAGCCTACATGCACTTTCAGCCGTACATGCACTTTCAGCCTACATGCACTTTCAGCCGTACATGCACTTTCAGCCGTACATGCACTTTCAGCCATACATGCACTTTCAGCCGTACATGCACTTTCAGCCATACATGCACTTTCAGCCATACATGCACTTTCAGCCGTACATGCACTTTCAGCCTACATGCACTTTCAGCCATACATGCACTTTCAGCCTACATGCACTTTCAGCCGTACATGCACTTTCAGCCTACATGCACTTTCAGCCGTACATGCACTTTCAGCCGTACATGCACTTTCAGCCATACATGCACTTTCAGCCGTACATGCACTTTCAGCCATACATGCACTTTCAGCCGTACATGCACTTTCAGCCATACATGCACTTTCAGCCATACATGCACTTTCAGCCTACATGCACTTTCAGCCATACATGCACTTTCAGCTGTACATGCACTTTCAGCCTACATGCACTTTCAGCCATACATGCACTTTCAGCCATACATGCACTTTCAGCCGTACATGCACTTTCAGCCTACATGCACTTTCAGCCATACATGCACTTTCAGCCTACATGCACTTTCAGCCATACATGCACTTTCAGCCATACATGCACTTTCAGCCATACATGCACTTTCAGCCATACATGCACTTTCAGCCGTACATGCACTTTCAGCCTACATGCACTTTCAGCCATACATGCACTTTCAGCCTACATGCACTTTCAGCCGTACATGCACTTTCAGCCTGCATGCACTTTCAGCCGTACATGCACTTTCAGCCGTACATGCACTTTCAGCCATACATGCACTTTCAGCCGTACATGCACTTTCAGCCATACATGCACTTTCAGCCGTACATGCACTTTCAGCCATACATGCACTTTCAGCCATACATGCACTTTCAGCCTACATGCACTTTCAGCCATACATGCACTTTCAGCCGTACATGCACTTTCAGCCTACATGCACTTTCAGCCATACATGCACTTTCAGCCTACATGCACTTTCAGCCGTACATGCACTTTCAGCCTACATGCACTTTCAGCCGTACATGCACTTTCAGCCGTACATGCACTTTCAGCCATACATGCACTTTCAGCCGTACATGCACTTTCAGCCGTACATGCACTTTCAGCCGTACATGCACTTTCAGCCGTACATGCACTTTCAGCCTACATGCACTTTCAGCCGTACATGCACTTTCAGCCTACATGCACTTTCAACCATACATGCACTTTCAGCCTACATGCACTTTCAGCCGTACATGCACTTTCAGCCTACATGCACTTTCAGCCGTACATGCACTTTCAGCCGTACATGCACTTTCAGCCATACATGCACTTTCAGCCGTACATGCACTTTCAGCCGTACATGCACTTTCAGCCGTACATGCACTTTCAGCCGTACATGCACTTTCAGCCATACATGCACTTTCAGCCATACATGCACTTTCAGCCGTACATGCACTTTCAGCCGTACATGCACTTTCAGCCGTACATGCACTTTCAGCCGTACATGCACTTTCAGCCATACATGCACTTTCAGCCGTACATGCACTTTCAGCCATACATGCACTTTCAGCCATACATGCACTTTCAGCCATACATGCACTTTCAGCCGTACATGCACTTTCAGCCATACATGCACTTTCAGCCGTACATGCACTTTCAGCCATACATGCACTTTCAGCCGTACATGCACTTTCAGCCGTACATGCACTTTCAGCCGTACATGCACTTTCAGCCATACATGCACTTTCAGCCATACATGCACTTTCAGCCGTACATGCACTTTCAGCCTACATGCACTTTCAGCCATACATGCACTTTCAGCCTACATGCACTTTCAGCCGTACATGCACTTTCAGCCTACATGCACTTTCAGCAATACATGCACTTTCAGCCGTACATGCACTTTCAGCCATACATGCACTTTCAGCCGTACATGCACTTTCAGCCGTACATGCACTTTCAGCCGTACATGCACTTTCAGCCGTACATGCACTTTCAGCCATACATGCACTTTCAGCCATACATGCACTTTCAGCCGTACATGCACTTTCAGCCTACATGCACTTTCAGCCGTACATGCACTTTCAGCCTACATGCACTTTCAGCCATACATGCACTTTCAGCCTACATGCACTTTCAGCCGTACATGCACTTTCAGCCTACATGCACTTTCAGCCGTACATGCACTTTCAGCCGTACATGCACTTTCAGCCATACATGCACTTTCAGCCGTACATGCACTTTCAGCCGTACATGCACTTTCAGCCGTACATGCACTTTCAGCCGTACATGCACTTTCAGCCATACATGCACTTTCAGCCATACATGCACTTTCAGCCGTACATGCACTTTCAGCCGTACATGCACTTTCAGCCGTACATGCACTTTCAGCCGTACATGCACTTTCAGCCATACATGCACTTTCAGCCGTACATGCACTTTCAGCCATACATGCACTTTCAGCCATACATGCACTTTCAGCCATACATGCACTTTCAGCCGTACATGCACTTTCAGCCATACATGCACTTTCAGCCGTACATGCACTTTCAGCCATACATGCACTTTCAGCCGTACATGCACTTTCAGCCGTACATGCACTTTCAGCCGTACATGCACTTTCAGCCATACATGCACTTTCAGCCATACATGCACTTTCAGCCGTACATGCACTTTCAGCCTACATGCACTTTCAGCCATACATGCACTTTCAGCCTACATGCACTTTCAGCCGTACATGCACTTTCAGCCTACATGCACTTTCAGCCGTACATGCACTTTCAGCCGTACATGCACTTTCAGCCATACATGCACTTTCAGCCGTACATGCACTTTCAGCCGTACATGCACTTTCAGCCGTACATGCACTTTCAGCCGTACATGCACTTTCAGCCATACATGCACTTTCAGCCATACATGCACTTTCAGCCGTACATGCACTTTCAGCCGTACATGCACTTTCAGCCGTACATGCACTTTCAGCCGTACATGCACTTTCAGCCATACATGCACTTTCAGCCGTACATGCACTTTCAGCCATACATGCACTTTCAGCCATACATGCACTTTCAGCCATACATGCACTTTCAGCCGTACATGCACTTTCAGCCATACATGCACTTTCAGCCGTACATGCACTTTCAGCCATACATGCACTTTCAGCCGTACATGCACTTTCAGCCGTACATGCACTTTCAGCCGTACATGCACTTTCAGCCATACATGCACTTTCAGCCATACATGCACTTTCAGCCGTACATGCACTTTCAGCCTACATGCACTTTCAGCCATACATGCACTTTCAGCCTACATGCACTTTCAGCCGTACATGCACTTTCAGCCTACATGCACTTTCAGCCGTACATGCACTTTCAGCCGTACATGCACTTTCAGCCATACATGCACTTTCAGCCGTACATGCACTTTCAGCCATACATGCACTTTCAGCCGTACATGCACTTTCAGCCATACATGCACTTTCAGCCATACATGCACTTTCAGCCTACATGCACTTTCAGCCATACATGCACTTTCAGCCGTACATGCACTTTCAGCCTACATGCACTTTCAGCCATACATGCACTTTCAGCCTACATGCACTTTCAGCCGTACATGCACTTTCAGCCTACATGCACTTTCAGCCGTACATGCACTTTCAGCCGTACATGCACTTTCAGCCATACATGCACTTTCAGCCGTACATGCACTTTCAGCCGTACATGCACTTTCAGCCGTACATGCACTTTCAGCCGTACATGCACTTTCAGCCTACATGCACTTTCAGCCGTACATGCACTTTCAGCCTACATGCACTTTCAGCCATACATGCACTTTCAGCCTACATGCACTTTCAGCCGTACATGCACTTTCAGCCTACATGCACTTTCAGCCGTACATGCACTTTCAGCCGTACATGCACTTTCAGCCATACATGCACTTTCAGCCGTACATGCACTTTCAGCCGTACATGCACTTTCAGCCGTACATGCACTTTCAGCCGTACATGCACTTTCAGCCATACATGCACTTTCAGCCATACATGCACTTTCAGCCGTACATGCACTTTCAGCCGTACATGCACTTTCAGCCGTACATGCACTTTCAGCCGTACATGCACTTTCAGCCATACATGCACTTTCAGCCGTTCATGCACTTTCAGCCATACATGCACTTTCAGCCATACATGCACTTTCAGCCATACATGCACTTTCAGCCGTACATGCACTTTCAGCCATACATGCACTTTCAGCCGTACATGCACTTTCAGCCATACATGCACTTTCAGCCGTACATGCACTTTCAGCCGTACATGCACTTTCAGCCGTACATGCACTTTCAGCCATACATGCACTTTCAGCCATACATGCACTTTCAGCCGTACATGCACTTTCAGCCTACATGCACTTTCAGCCATACATGCACTTTCAGCCTACATGCACTTTCAGCCGTACATGCACTTTCAGCCTACATGCACTTTCAGCCGTACATGCACTTTCAGCCGTACATGCACTTTCAGCCATACATGCACTTTCAGCCGTACATGCACTTTCAGCCGTACATGCACTTTCAGCCGTACATGCACTTTCAGCCGTACATGCACTTTCAGCCATACATGCACTTTCAGCCATACATGCACTTTCAGCCGTACATGCACTTTCAGCCTACATGCACTTTCAGCCGTACATGCACTTTCAGCCTACATGCACTTTCAGCCATACATGCACTTTCAGCCTACATGCACTTTCAGCCGTACATGCACTTTCAGCCTACATGCACTTTCAGCCGTACATGCACTTTCAGCCGTACATGCACTTTCAGCCATACATGCACTTTCAGCCGTACATGCACTTTCAGCCGTACATGCACTTTCAGCCGTACATGCACTTTCAGCCGTACATGCACTTTCAGCCATACATGCACTTTCAGCCATACATGCACTTTCAGCCGTACATGCACTTTCAGCCGTACATGCACTTTCAGCCGTACATGCACTTTCAGCCGTACATGCACTTTCAGCCATACATGCACTTTCAGCCGTACATGCACTTTCAGCCATACATGCACTTTCAGCCATACATGCACTTTCAGCCATACATGCACTTTCAGCCGTACATGCACTTTCAGCCATACATGCACTTTCAGCCGTACATGCACTTTCAGCCATACATGCACTTTCAGCCGTACATGCACTTTCAGCCGTACATGCACTTTCAGCCGTACATGCACTTTCAGCCATACATGCACTTTCAGCCATACATGCACTTTCAGCCGTACATGCACTTTCAGCCGTACATGCACTTTCAGCCGTACATGCACTTTCAGCCGTACATGCACTTTCAGCCATACATGCACTTTCAGCCATACATGCACTTTCAGCCGTACATGCACTTTCAGCCATACATGCACTTTCAGCCATACATGCACTTTCAGCCGTACATGCACTTTCAGCCATACATGCACTTTCAGCCGTACATGCACTTTCAGCCATACATGCACTTTCAGCCGTACATGCACTTTCAGCCATACATGCACTTTCAGCCATACATGCACTTTCAGCCGTACATGCACTTTCAGCCGTACATGCACTTTCAGCCATACATGCACTTTCAGCCATACATGCACTTTCAGCCGTACATGCACTTTCAGCCGTACATGCACTTTCAGCCATACATGCACTTTCAGCCATACGTGCACTTTCAGCCGTACATGCACTTTCAGCCATACATGCACTTTCAGCTACCACTCATGTGCTCTTCCCCCCCCAAGGCCTCTCCCTCACGCCTCTCATCCCATACTGCTCACCCCATGCCCCTCTGTGCGGCAGACAACATCTGTCGGAAGGCCAAGTGTCCGAAGAACTCCACGTGCATCAGGACAAAGGACAGCCAGGAGGTGGGCTGCCAGTGCGCCCAGGGCTACCGTGACGTCTACGGCCAGTGCAAGCCTCAGTAGGCCTGCCCTCCCACCTGTAAGTCAATTCTGAGATATCTCATCTCAAAGAAAGACAGGGCTACCGTGACATCGTCGGCCAGTGCAAGCCTCAATAACTCCCTCTCCCCTCTCATCTGTAAGTCAATTCTGAGATGCCTCAAAGAAAGACAGGCAGGAGGTGGCATGCTGGTGCGCCCAGGGTTACCGTGACGTCTTCGGCCAGTGCAAGCCCCAGTAGCTTGTACCCGAATGTGCGGCAAGACGAGAGTCAGCAAGGAGGTGGAGTGTGCCAGTGCGCTCAGGGTTACCGTGCCTTCTCTTTCCAATGCAAACCCCTATAGCCTCCTGTCCCCTCTGTAAGTCCTCTCTTTTCAAATGCATCCCCGCATTGCCGTCCTCTGCTGCTTACCGTCATATCCCGTTCCACCCGCCTTTTCCCTTGTGCCCTGTCTTCTCTTCCTCTCCCGCTCCTGTCCCCCTTATCCTGCTCCTCTCCCCCTTATCCCGCTCCTTTCCCCCCCCTCTCCCGCTCCTTTCCCCCCCCTCTCCCGCTCCTTTCCCCCCCCCTCTCCCGCTCCTTTCCCCCCCTCTCCCACTCCTTTCCCCCCCCTCTCCTGCTCCTTTCCCCCCCCCTCTCCCGCTCCTTTCCCTCCCTCTCCCGCTCCTTTCCCCCCCTCTCCCGCTCCTTTCCCCCCCCTCTCCTGCTCCTTTCCCCCCCCTCTCCGCTCCTTTCCCCCCCTCTCCCGCTCCTTTCCCCCCCTCTCCCGCTCCTTTCCCCCCCCTCTCCCGCTCCTTTCCCCCCCTCTCCCGCTCCTTTCCCCCCCTCTCCCGCTCCTTTCCCCCCCCTCTCCCGCTCCTTTCCCCCCCCCTCTCCCGCTCCTTTCCCCCCCCTCTCCCGCTCCTTTCCCCCCCCTCTCCCACTCCTTTCCCCCTTATCCCGCTCCTTTCCCGTTCCACCCGCCTTCTCCCTTGTGCCCCGTCTCCCCTTCCCCTCTCCCACTTCTAATTGCCCTCTCCCTCTCCCCCCCCCTCTCCGTCTCCTTTCCGCCCTCTCCCTCCCCCTCCTCCTGCTCCCCCCTCTTCATGAACTGTTGCTATGTAGTTGTGTGCTGATCGTTGATTCTTGCCTTGTCTGCTGCAGAGCCTCTGGACTGCCAGTGGTGCTGGGATCCCCTACAAAGCCCCTCCTAGAGTGCCCCTGGAGTTGCTTGGGTGCTCTGAAGTGCCTTTTAAGTGACTCTCAAGTGTTTTCAGGGATTCAATGGGTGCCGCCGTGCCACTTGAAACCAGGGGACCTTGTTATATACGTCCAAGTGCCTCTTGAATGAAACCAGTAGCAGAGGGGTTGAACAGTGTTGACTGCGGTGCTAAATAATGTCTACATGCAACCATAGCAGAAAATGTTGTTCCAATCTAACATGAACTTTTAGACACGTGAGATTTATGCCTTTAAAATACAGGTACATAAGGAATGGAGCATTCATTACGTCATCTTCTGATCAATCACACAATCACTACTCATACAATCACAAATCAAGAGCAGTCTGTGTAGTAAGGCACTCCTATCCTCCTGAGACCTCTTTTGATGGCCACCTGCTGCTTCATAGCAGCACTGCCACTCCAGGCGCTCTTTAGGAGCTCTGCGACCTTTAGAAGCTCTAACATTCAGGGGATCTCAGCATAGCCGTGGCGCTGGAGGGCTCTGCTGCATGGAACAGACGAGTAGATATATGGGAAACAGGAGAGGAGAGAGAGGTTTTGCAAGGGACTCGTCTCTGTAGCAATACTCAGCATAGCTGTGGCGCTGGAGGGCTCTGCTGCATGGAACAGACAAGGAGTAGATAAATGAGGGGAAACAGGAGAGGAGAGGAGAGAGAGGGGGGCTAGAGACAAGGCCTTTCCAGCATAGCAGATGGTGGGAGGAGATGGATACAGGGGAAGGGAAGAGAGGAGAGAGGGACGGGGAAGGGAGAGAAGGGGGAAGCATCGGGAGAGGGGAGGTGCAACAGACAAGGTGAGAATGAATGATTGGCACAGAGATGCATGGTGGGAGGAGATGGCAACAGGGGAAGGGAAGAGAGGAGAGAGGGACGGGGAAGGGAGAGAAGGGGGAAGCATCGGGAGAGGGGAGGTGCAACAGACAAGGTGAGAATGAATGATTGGCACAGAGATGCATGGTGGGAGGAGATGGCAAGAGGGGAAGGGAAGAGAGGAGAGAGGGACGGGGAAGGGAGAGAAGGGGGAAGCATCGGGAGAGGGGAGGTGCAACAGACAAGGTGAGAATGAATGATTGGCACAGAGATGCATGGTGGGAGGAGATGGCAAGAGGGGAAGGGAAGAGAGGAGAGAGGGACGGGGAAGGGAGAGAAGGGGGAAGCATCGGGAGAGGGGAGGTGCAACAGACAAGGTGAGAATGAATGATTGGCACAGAGATGCATGGTGGGAGGAGATGGCAAGAGGGGAAGGGAAGAGAGGAGAGAGGGACGGGGAAAGGCGAGAAGGAGGGGACAGGGAAGGCTAGTGGGGAGGTTTCGAGAGGAGAGGGGAGGCTACTGGGGCTGGCATTTGCCAGAGACTGCACGGTATGCCATGAGGCACTGGCCTGCCCCCCCCTGCCTGTCGCTATTTGACTTTTGAGTCGACTCAAAAGTCACCTCATGAGGCACTGGCATGCCCCCCCCTGCCTGTCGCTATATGACTTTTGAGTCAACTCAAAAGTCACCTCATGAGGCACTGGCCTGCCCCCCCCTGCCTGTCGCTATTTGAGGCGTCTCGAACTTGGCTTACCGGCGAGAAGGGAAGGCTACTGCTTCTGGCATTTGCCGGAGACGGCACGGTAACCCTTGAGGCACTGGCAGGTTACCCCGTAATTATCGTTCGTCTTGATGCACTTGGAGTGTGGCGGGCACTTGGCTCGCTGGCAGATGTTGTCTGGATGATAGCACATGGAGGGAGAGGCATGGGGGGAGAGGGATGAGGGGAGAGGGATGGGTTGGAGGGAGAGGCATGGGGGGAGAGGCATGAGGGGAGAGGGATGGGTTGGAGGGAGAGGCATGGGGGGAGAGGGATGGGTTGAGGGCATTGGCATGCCACCCCGTAATTATCGTTTCGTCCTGATGCATGTGGAGTGTGCCCGGCACTTGGCCCACTGGCAGATGTTGTCTGGATGATAGCGCATGGGGGGGAGGCATGGGGGGAGAGGCATGGGGGGAGAGGAATGGGGGGAGAGGGATGGGGGGAGAGGGATGGGGTGAGAGGGATGGGGGGAGAGGGATGGGGAAAGAGGGATGGGGTGAGAGGAGTGAGAGGGATGGGGCGAGAGGGATGGGGTGAGAGGGATGGGGTGAGAGGCATGGGGGAAAGAGTGCATGGGTGGCAGCAGAAAGCATGTGCATGGCAGCAGTAGGGCACGGATGGCAGCATCGAGTGCTGCTCTTTCATCATTATGTCTGCAGTAGCATGCGCGGCAGCATGAGGGCATGCGCGGCAGCATGAGGGCATGCGCGGCAGCATGAGGGCATGCGCGGCAGCATGAGGGAGGGCAAGCATGGCAGCAGCGACTGCTGCACTTTCATCATTATGTCTGCGGTAGCATGCATGGCAGCATGAGGGAGGGCAAGCATGGCAGCATGAGGGAGGGCAAGCATGGCAGCATGAGGGAGGGCATGCATGGCAACAGCAGGGCAAGCATGGCAGCATCAGGGCATGCATGGCAATAGTTGGAAATAGCAGCAGAAAACGCCAACGCATGGCAGCAGAAGGGCACGCAGAGATAACGCAGCTTTTGAGGTGCCTCAAAAGTGCATGGCAGCAGCACGGCACGCACTGATAACGCAGCGGAAGGACTTGAGAGGTGTGGTCAGCTTGATGGTTCTGCTCACATGGGGAGGGGAGGTTGTGGGGAGGGGGGAGAGGGGGGAGGGGGAGGGGAGACGGGTTCAGGGCGTGTGATATCGGCGCATCGGGCTTTTGAGGCGCCTCAAACACAGATAACGCAGTGGAAGGCCTTGAGAGGTGTGGTCAGCTTGAGAGATCTGCTCACATGGGGAGGTTGTGGGGAGGGGGGAGGGGGAGGGGAGACGGAGATGGGAGAAGGGTTTAGGGCGAGGGGAGATGGGGATGGGAGAAGGGTTTAGGGCGAGGGCAGGGCCGCATGGGGGAGAGTTCCGGGCGTGGGGAGGGGCGTACGTGGTGAGGGTTTGATGGGTCTGCTCACATGTGCACAGGGGGAGGGGCGCCGATGGGAGTGGTGGTTTGGGGGGGGGGGGGGGAGGGAGGCGCGCTTTGCTACTCGCCAGTAACAAACGCGTGAACTTTGCGAGTTCCTTCCCACTCCCACCAGCTGTAACGAACAGCTGAATGCTCACCTCATCTCATGCACGCCTGCGACAGCTCAGGCGATGCAACGAACAGACGGTGTAACGAACAGGCGGTGTAACGAACAGGCGGTGTAACGAACAGGCGGTGTAACGAGCAGGCGGTGTAACGAACAGGCGATGTAACGAACAGGCGATGTAACGAACAGGCGATGTAACGAACAGGCGATGTAACGAACAGGCGATGTAACGAACAGGCGATGTAACGAACAGGCAGGTGAAATGCTCACTCACTGCACGTTAAGCCAGAGCAATCCGCCGACGACTCATCTAATGTAACGAACAGTAACGAACCGTAACGAACAGCAACAAACGGGCGAAATAGACGAGATGCTCACTGCACGTTTCCAACGGTTGGGGGTGGGGCAGTGAGTCTCCCAGCCGTTACGCCAGAGCAATCCGCCGACGACTCATCTAATGTAACGAACAGTAACAAACGGGCGAAATAGGCGAAATGCTCACTGCACGTTTCCAACGGCTGGGGGTGGGGCAGTGAGTCTCCCAGCCGTTACGCCAGAGCAATCCGCCGACGCGAAAGCCTGCAGCGCGACGCACGGAACATGATAACCCGTAGCGAGGCCTCCAGTCACGTCCCAAAGCAATAGCGCCTGCACATTCCTTCCCCAGACGCTCGGCGCGCCGCAGAGGCCTGAGTGGAAGTAGACAAGGCTGGGCTTTGCGAGCGACCCGAGGATCATGAGTGTCTCCACGACGAGCGACGCTTTCACCACCTCGCTCGCGGCGGTTACCACCTCGCTCGCGCTCGCGCCCGCGCTCGCCACCGCCGTGCCGCTCGCGGCGGCGGCGCCCACCGCCACGGCGGCGGCGGGGGCGGGAAAGCGCGCCGTGCTCACCACCTCGATCGCGCTCGCGCTCACCACTGGCTTGCCGGCGGAGGCAGGTGCTCCCAGCGACGCTCCGGCGTTACTCGCTGCCGCAAGGATGGGTGACATGATGGGGAAAGGGGGAACACAGAGCCGGCGGAGGAAGGCAACAGTCAGAAAGGAAAGCACGCCTCTGCTGTGCCGTCGGCGGCGGCAGGTGCTCCCAGCGACGCTCCGGCGTTACTCGCTGCCGCAAAGGATGTGACATGATGGGGAAAGGGGGAAGGGAGAGCAGCAGCTTGGCACGGAGGCCGTCGCACGGGGAAGGGCAAAAGTCAGCCACGGGAGGGAATTGCAATTGAAATCATGCCGCGACCCGGCCTTATGGAAGAAGATTCTGTGAGCCTTTCACGGGCATGCCGCATGGCGCATTCACCGTCTTCGCCGCGACGAAGGGAGGCCGCGCGGCGTACCGATGAGAAGCGCGACAACGAGCAGCGCGGCGGCCGCTGCGGCCTTGGATCGTTCCGCGATCATCATTATCATCATCGCGGGTGCTCGTGGCGAGCGAAGGTATGAGTAGCGCGGAGGGGTGCCGCGTCAGGGTCGCTTCGGATGCGATCGAAGCACAAAGCGGCGATTCCGCAACGGGGCGCCGCGATCGCGATGATCTCGAGATGGACGGGAGAGTTGGAGCCAGAAGCGACGGTCTGATGTTACGGTAACCCAGAGGCGGCGAGGCGGCGTCGGAGCCCTCAATACTCCGAGAAGTGCCGGTAAGTTCGTCTCAATTATACTCGATGGGAAGTCACCTCTACCGGTGGCACGAAAATGATATACTTACTACTCCCCACGTATTTCGATACGGGCGGGCCATATTGGAACGCCGGACCCTCCAGGGGGGATAGTGGCAACGTTGCCGCACCCCAGGTGAGGCACCAGGTGCGCGTACGCGCAGCGCTCGAGAGGCCACTCGCCACCCGTTGCCGCGCCACGTGGGCCACGTGAGGCACCAGGTGCGCGTAGGCGGCATGAATCGTCGAAAAATTCCCGGGAATTACTACAGGCGAATCCCAACCTAATCGCAACAGTCTGTCTACGTGTATCACAAGCGCGACGCCGTCCCTATGACGTTAGGGGACGGGCAACCACACGTCGTCTACAAGCGCCACGGCTCAGTTTGCTCGGTTGAGCAACGTGTGGTACCGAACGTGCACCTAATTCGGTTCTGTCTGGATAGTGTCTTCAATCACAACCACCAGAACGTCTCGTTCGTTATCTTCGCGAGCGCAGGTACGCCACGTGGCGTTTGGAAATGTATAGGTAGCGCGGGCCGTTAGATGCTTCTCTGCCACGAGTAATTCAACTTGTGTTCAGTCGATCTTGCTCACTGTCGTATTTTAGGTATCGCGCCGCGATCGGATCTTGCTCGCTGCCGTACTAATATTAGGTGTCGTGATTTTGCTCACTGCCGTATTTTTAGGTGTCGCATTAGGGCAGGTCCAACTCGTTCACTGCTAGCGTTTAGGTATCGCGAATATAATTCAACCGTCTTTTCACGTGTCGGGTTAGGGGGTACAGTAAAAGCGGAAGGAGAACAAAAGGAGAAAGGAGGCTAAAGGAAGAAATCACAACAGGCAGCCCGCACAACGAAATGTTAGGGCTGATCCAACTCGTTCACTACCACAAGTTTTTCACTGCGGTGGGTGGCTTCTTTATGAGTGGCCACAAGGCCTCCCTCTCTCCCTCCGCACAACAAGTGTCAACAGGATTGAGCACAATTCGAGAATCGTCGCGTCGCGCAATGAAGTCTTTTGTAATGCTTCTCACTTCTTGTTGGAAGTATGGGCGTGTTGCAATCTTGTCAACAAACGAAGCAGGCTATAAATAATAACCTTTCTATACAAATGTTTTCATTATTCATATTAGGTATATGGATACCATGTTGGGTACACAAAAAAAAAAACCATGACAGGAAATCCCGGTAGAGAAAACAATAACACTTCATTTTTTATACTTACGGGTAGACATTCTATGATGCTCCAATGCTGATATCACACCCTCACTCTTGCTACAAAATTGCTTCCATCCAATAATTTCAGCAATGGCTTCCCTAGGTAGCAATGCCACCACAAAGCTGCCACTCCAGGCCCTCTCCCATTCCTCTCCAGGGGCTCTCTAGGGCATCTGCAGAGACGCAGGAGCTCCCATAGATGCGCTGCTCTCTGCAGGAGCTCTCAGCACAGCAGTGGCTCAGGAAAGGCTCTGCAGCAGACAACAAGATAAACAAGAGGCGTGCAGATGGATAGAGGCAGAACAGGGGCTGGTCTCGTCAGAGCAGAACAGAGGCTCCTCCCAGCACAGCAGTGACTCAGGAGAGGGCTCTGCAGGAGACAAGAAGATAGAATGAGGCAGAGAGATGGATAGTGGCAGAAGATAGACAAGAGGAGAGGGGAGACATGAGAGGGTTGAGAGGAGGGGGGAAGGGAGAGCGGCTTTATAAGGGTTCCCAACATAGCAGTGGCAGTGGAGGGGCTCCGCAGTAGACAAGGCGAGAACCAATCACTAGGAGACAGGGAACATGGAGGAAAGGAATGGGAGAGGAAAAAGAGGCTTTGCAAGGGTTCCCAACATAGCAGTGGCAGTGGAGGGGCTCTGCAGCAGAGAATGCGAGAATCAACAACAAGGACTGAGGAGGGGGAGAGGAGGGTGAGAGGAGAGAGAGCAGCTTTGGAAGGGGTCTTAACATAGCAGTGGCAGTGGAGGGGCTCTGGACAGGGAACATGGCGGAAAGGAATGGGAGAGCGTGAGGGAGGATAGGATAGGAGGGAGGAAGGGACATGGCGTATGGAGGAAGAGGGGAGAGGAAGGCAATCTGGGACGAGAAGGGAAGAGAGGAGCTTGCATTCACCGTAGAGTTTAGGTGGCCCTGGGCGCACTGGCAGGCCATCTCCAGCCTCCAAGCTGTCTCTCATCATGATGCGCATTCAACGCACAGACTTACATTCAGGTGAAGGTTCTTGGGGTTTGCATTGACCGTAGACTTTCCGGTAGCCCTGGGCGCCCTGGCACCCCAGCTCCAGGCTGTCGCTTGTCTTAATGCACATTCAACGCACAGACTTACATTCGGGTGCAGGTTCTTGGGGCTTGCATTTGCCGCAGACTTCCCGGTAGCCCTGGGCGCACTGGCATGCCACCTCCATACTATCGTTTGTCTTGATGCACTTGGAGTGTTCCGGGCACTTGATACGGCTGCAGATGTCGTCTGGATCACATGGGAGGAAGGGGTGAGAGGGATGGGATGGGAGGAAATGGCATGGGGGGAGAAGGATGGGGGAAAGAATGGGGGGAGAGGCATGGAAGAAAGAATGGGGGGAGAGGCATGGGGTGGGGGGAGAGGCATGGGGGGAAGAACGGGAGGAGAGGGATGGGGGAAAGAATGGGGAGAGAGGCATGACTTATGAGGAAAAGCGACATAAGTTGCAGCAGGAAGCGCACGGCTCCACTCAAAAGGAGTCTGCTTTTGAGTCGACTCAAAGGAAGCGCGTGCTCCACTCAATAGCAGCAAGCGCATGCATGGTAGCCGCAGGGCACAGGTGGAAGCTGCATAAATTGCAGCAGGAAGCGCATGGCTCCACTCAAAAGGAGTATGCTTTTGACTCGACTCAAAGGAAGCGCATGGCTCCACTCAAAAGGAGTCTGCTTTTGACTCGACTCAAAGGAAGTGCATGGCTCCACTCAAAAGGAGTCTGCTTTTGACTCGACTCAAAGGAAGCGCATGGCTCCACTCAAAAGGAGTCTGCTTTTGAGTCGACTCAAAGGAAGCGCGTGCTCCACTCAATAGCAGCAAGCGCATGCATGGTAGCCGCAGGGCACAGGTGGAAGCTGCATAAATTGCACCAGGAAGCGCATGGCTCCACTCAAAAGGAGTCTGCTTTTGAGTCGACTCAAAAGAAGCGCATGGCTCCACTCAATAGCAGCAAGCGCATGCATGGTAGCCGCAGGGCACAGGTGGAAGCTGCGAGTGATGTTTGTTCAAGGCGATGCATGAGCAGTAGGGCACGCATAGCAATAACAGCAGAGAGGTGAATGCATGGTGGCAGCAGCAAGGCACTCACCGAGAACGCAGCGGATGGACTTCACAGATGCGCCCATCTTGAACGCACTGCTCACACAGACACAGGGAGGAGGGGCGCATGGGAGGGGCGCATGGGAGGGACGCATGGGAGGGACGTATGGGAGCAGGTGCAGGGCACATATGGCAGCAGTAGGATGGACTTCACTGATGCGTCCATCTTGACCGTACTGCTCACACAGATACAGGGGGGAGGGGCGCATGGGACGGACGCATGGGACGGATGCATGGGAGGGACGTATGGGAGGGACGCATGGGAGGGACGTATGGGAGCAGGTGCAGGGCACATATGGCAGCAGTAGGATGGACTTCACTGATGCGCCCATCTTGACCGTACTGCTCACGCAGACATGCACAGGGGGAGGGGCGCATTGGGTGGGTCGCGCAGCGAGTAAGGTGGGAGTGTCGCTGGGAGCACCAGCCGCCAAAGGGTGGAACACATGCGCGCCAGTAAACAAACAGCACCCGAGCAGTCGGCCGATGCGAACAGCAGCACCGCGTTGCATACCGTACGATCCAAAAACACGTCCCACCACACCACACCAGCACAACCCCCCCCCCCCCCCCCCCCCCCCGGCAGTAACAAGCGGGTGAGCACTCACCTCATGTCCCTTGTGTGGTAAACCGTGTTTTGGTACTCTGCCGCTGCAGAACCCGAGCAGTCGGGCGACGCGAACAGCTGCACCGCGTCGCACACCGTGCGCTCGAAAAGCGCGTCACCCAAAAACACGTCCCACAACAGCAGCGCATCCACTGCACCTTCTCCGCTGCCGCTCGCGCCGCCGCCGCTTGCGGACGCGACGTCGGGCATCACCGTCCCCACGGATACGCAGCGCTCAAATTCGAATCGGACTTTGCGCGGCTGCGCAAGCGAGCCAAGGAGCATCACAGTCCCCATTCGCACATAACGCCGCACGAGGTCGGTGGCCGCAGCGGCATTCGCTCCTATGGCCACGGGGAGAAGGGTAAAGACAAAAAGGGAAGGGAAGGGTTGAAAACAAGCGAGCCGAGGAGCATCACCGTGCCCATGCGCACATACAGCCGCACCACATCGCTGGCAGCCACAACATTTGCTGCCGTCGCTGCGAGCATGTCAAACAGAGAAGGGCGAAGACGGAAAGCTAAGCGAAAAGGTCGGAACGAGCGAGCCGAGGAGGAGCATCACCGAGCCCACATGCACATAAACCCGCATCACATCACTGCCAGCAGCAACATTTGCTGTATCGACAGGGTTCACAACGAGCGAGCCGAGGAGCATCACCGAGCCCACGCGCACATAAACCCGCACCACCGTCATGAAAAGAAGGTATTTTTGAGACACCTCAAAAAGAGCCCACGCGCACATAAGCCGGCAGCAGTCGTGCCTTTAGCGGCTGGTGCTCCCAGCGACACTCCCATCTCACTCGTTGCAAAGACATCACACAGAGGGAAAGGGAGAATGGCAAGATACGTCACACAAGGAAGGGCAAAAGTCACGCCCGTAGTAGTCGACTCAAAAGTCAAATGTGTACGGAATTGGGATTTAATCTAGCAGCTTGTAAGCTTCTAACGAGCGTCGCGCAAAAAGCCTTGAGGTTGGGACTTCGGGAGGGAAGCGTACCAACGAGGATGACTACAAGCAGCGCGGCAGCGACTTTAGAGAATTCTCAAAAGTCACATCGATTCTCAAAATTGCACCTTGAGGTTGGGTCTTCGGGAGGGAAGCGTACCAACGAGGATGACGATGAGCAGCGCGGCTGCGGCCTTGAAACCTCCCGTCCTGGTGTTGCTGGCGCTGCTGGTGCTCGTGGTGATCATGGTGGTGACGAACGAGCGTTCACTTGTCACGAGCATCGCGAGCGAGAGAAGAAGAGCGTACCAATGAGGATGGCGACAACGAGCAGCGTGGCAGCAGCCTTGAAATCTCCCATGCTGGTGCTCGTGGTGGTGACGAAAGAGGCTCGGCAAGTAGTGACGAGGGATGGTAGTAGCCTAGGGCGAACTGGATTTGACGAGAATCCATCGAAATCTTTGAGTCGACTCACCTCGCTACAAGGGGTGGCAGTACCGAGGGGTGGTAGTAGCCTGGGGCGAACTGGAGTGGGATGAGAATCCGTCGAGTCGAAAGCGACGGACTGACGCGACCCTACGGCAGCGATGGCCGTGAATTTTGAGCTGTGCGCGATAGCTTAAACAGTGCTATCAGCAATACTGCAGCGACCAAGGCAAGGGTGGCTAGTGCGCGTCGTGTTTCGACTCAAAACACGGACTAACGCGACCCTTAATGCAGCGATAGCGGTGAATTTTGAGCGCTAAAGCAGCAATAATGCAGCGACTATTAAAACTCAGGCGCGCTGTAGCAGCCAGGAAGCGGCTTAGAGCGCACGTATTCTGCATGGCCCCGTTTTCATTACTCCCCGTGTGACTAGTGGTTGCGATGGCAGTGCAGCTCGCGACTCGAAATCCCGCCCGCTAACGTGCGGCAAGAACTGTTTCTGGCTATTCGCACGCCCATATTGACTTGAGAGTACATAATCCGAGCCCACAATCTTTGCGACGCAACGAAACCTAAGCTGCGAACGCGACTCCCATAATCCGTCTGCGCAATCGCGTTCCAATTGGCTGCCTGCATTGCGTGTGCCCTGCTGTGTCGTGCCGTGCCGTGTGGGGCGCGGTTGACGTGGCTATGTCCGTGACCAAACACAAAGTATTCATACGTGTACACATGATGCTCACCCCATACACACGCAATTGGTCTGCACCAATTGGAAACTCCGCACCCGTGGGTTTTTTGCCCTGGGGCTGCACACACGATACACGCACCTTTGGCATACATGGCCGAGTTGCTCAGATACAAACACAGATGTATTCAAACGAAAAAACAAACAACACACACCGGCAACAGCCAGATTTCTGGCCAGGGTCAACATCGCAGCTCCTTGCGTGCGAAAGCCACAAATCCTCGCATCCACAATCGCGCACATTCATCTGACACGTCGGCGGTTTCAACGTGCGCCAAACACATCAGGGGCAAATTCATGAGCCCATGTGGAACCTGCACCTGCTCGATATAGACCCTCTCCCGTCCGCACGATGAGCAGCAATAACACGTCACCTCTGATGGCTGTGGTTACCTGGTTCCATTCGGCTTCAAAACAGGTTCCCTAACAGACGAGGAGAAGCACATGTCTGCACAACAAATTCAAAATGCACTCACCCCACCTCGTTACGCAACTATCAGAATGTTAGAATAAGAAGACACACGCACCACCGCTTAAAGCTCGCGTCTCATATTCTGGTAATAGCAAAGTTTGTCGCAAAGCACACCAAAGCAAGGGGTGGTTTGTGAAAGTTGGTTGTCGCACACTTCCCGTGCACACCAAGCGTTTACAACTTCCAAAAATATGAGACTCTTAAACTCAACGTTGACAGAAGGGGGGACCGAACCTGTCCCCCTCGGCTCGTTTTCCACCCAAACCAACCCACCCTGGTTTGTTTTGGCCTCAACTGTTTTGGTAGTTCGCTGTGATTTTTTCACCCACTCGTCAAATATTTCGTTTTCGTCACCCAATCACAGTCGGGAAAACCCAACCAAGTGTTAAATGGTTGGAAATATGAGACGCGAGCTTTATCTCATTTGTAACCACAGCTACATCTCAACACAATGCCGCGCCTCTACCACCGCACGCAGCTTGGCCTGCCGATTAAGCGCGCGATTTGCGAGCATCACGTCGCGAATCCGCACCTGCGTCATGTTGACCTCTCCCGGTGGTGTCTCACCAGGTTCAGCCTTCGCCCCGACCGAAGCACGATCGGCTGCGTTCTGAAAGGCGCAGATCGTTGGGTCCAATCTGATGCTGACGCCGACAACATTCGCGTCCGTGGCGGCGCGTATCCTGTGCTCGAGCGCGCGATGGCGTGCTCGAGCGCGCGATGGCGTGCTGGATCGCCAACGCGGGACCTGCGGATGTCCCGCTCACTCTTGCCACTTTTCGCAACCATGTCGCGAATATGGCACAGGCTAACGGCGCCCCGCCCACTTTCCGCTGCTCCATCGGCTGGGTTCGTCGCGCGCTACGCCGACAGAGCGTACGCTACATGAGCGCGGTCAGCGAGGCCGCCGACCAGGACATGAATGCGGTGAGGACGACCAAGGAGAAGTTGCCGCAGCTCCTTATGCAACTGGCCGTCACCCCGAGTGACACGTTCAACTTTGACGAGACGGCATTGTACATCTCCATCCTGCCGCGGAAGACTTACGGTAGCGTGCGCAACGGCCGGCCACAAGATCGCGAAGCAGCGGCTCACCGTTGGCTTTCTCGTCAACCCCGACGGTACAAATGTGTTCAGGCCGTTGGTCATCTCAAAGTCCCGCCGCCCTCACGATTTCCCCCCCGATTACAACCCCGAGGAGTATGTTTACTGGCGGCACAATGCGAAGGGGTGGATGACAAGCAACGTATGTATTTAACCACCCCGGTTACTACCACTGAAGTATATGTGCTTTTCTAATCCCGTCAGGCCGCGCTCACGTTACTGTCAATGTTTTTTTCGCCCCCCCCTCCCCCCGCAGCTTTTCACCCACTTCATCGAGCAGCTCGACGCGGCGATGTACACCGAAGGCAAGAAGATTGTGGTGCTGCTCGACAATGCGAGCAGTCACTCCCTCAAGACCGAAGGCGCTGTCACCGAGGACCTGTACGGTTTCTGTACCGTGGCCCTCGGGAATGTGTGGCTGGTGTATTTGCCGCCCAATACCACTTGCTTCACCCAACCGCTCGACCAGGGGCTGATCTCAATGGCGAAGGCACGGTACCGGCAGCACTGGCTCCGTGCCTTCACACGCACCTGGACGGCAGAGGGCGCAACGTCGGCCGTCGCTCGCTTCAGGCCCAACATGAGGGCCGTGGTTGAGTGGCTAAACGCCGCATGGATGAATATTCCCCCGCGCGCCATCCAGCGCTGTTGGTGGCGCACGGGGTGTCTCCTGCTCGTGTGGGCCCTCTCCCTCCCTCACGTGGAGGCCACCCCGCGGAACAACGGCAGCACGGTGGTCGATGGCGAGGACGGGACCGAGACCGGCATCGATGAGAAGGTCAACGATGCTGGCCTCCTCGTCGATAGGCTCGGGCTCGGGCCGAGTGCGATGTCGGCCGAGGCGTTCGTGGGCATCGACGACAACCCGCCCACGTGCGCCGAGCCCGGCGAGGACCCCCTTGCGCGGGAGCCTCTGCGGAGATTGGGCTGCGCCGCATTCTGCCATGCATGCACTTTCAGCACTACATGCACTTTCAGCCATACGTGCACTTTCAACCATACATGCACTTTCAGTCATACGTGCACTTTCAGCCGTACGTGCACTTTCAGCCACACGTGCACTTTCAGCCATACATGCACTTTCAGCTACACGTGCACTTTCAGCCATACGTGCACTTTCAGCCATACGTGCCCTTTCAGCCATACGTGCACTTTCAGCCATACATGCACTTTCAGACATACATGCACTTTCAGCCATACATGCACTTTCAGCCATACGTGCACTTTCAGCCATACATGCACTTTCAGCCATACATGCACTTTCAGTCATACATGCACTTTCAGCCATACGTGCACTTTCAGCCATACGTGCAGTTTCAGCCATACATGCACTTTCAGCCATACATGCACTTTCAGCCATACATGCACTTTCAGCCATACGTGCACTTTCAGCCATACATGCACTTTCAGCCATACATGCACGTTTAGCCATACATGCACTTTCAGCCATACGTGCACATTCTGCCATGCATGCACTTTCAGCCATACATGCACTTTCAGCCATACATGCACTCTCAGCCATACGTACGCTTTCAACCATACATGCACTTTCAGCCATACATGCACTTTCAGTCATACTTGCACTTTCAGTCATACGTGCACTTTCAGCCATACGTGCACTTTCAGCCATACATGCACTTTCAGCCATACATGCAATTTCAGCCATACATGCACTTTCAGCCACACGTGCACTTTAAGCCATACATGCACTTTCAGCCATACGTGCACTTTCAGCCATACGTGCACTTTCTGCCATACATGCACTTTCAGCCATACATGCACTTTCAGCCATACATGCACTTTCAGCCATACATGCACTTTCAGCCATACATGCACTTTCAGCCATACATGCACTTTCAGCCATACGTGCACTTTCAACCATACATGCACTTTCAGCCATACATGCACTTTCAGTCATACATGCACTTTCAGCCATACGTGCACTTTCAGCCATACATGCAGTTTCAGCCATACATGCACTTTCAGCCATACATGCACTTTCAGCCATACATGCACGTTTAGCCATACATGCACTTTCAGCCATACATGCACTTTCAGCCATACGTGCACTTTCAACCATACATGCACTTTCAGCCATACGTGCACTTTCAGCCATACGTGCACATTCTGCCATACGTGCATATTCTGCCATACATGCACTTTCAGTCATACTTGCACTTTCAGTCGTACGTGCACTTTCAGCCATACGTGCACTTTCAGCCATACATGCACTTTCAGCCATACATGCAATTTCAGCCATACATGCACTTTCAGCCGTACATGCACTTTCAGCCATACGTGCACTTTCAGCCATACATGCACTTTCAGCCATACATGCAATTTCAGTCATACATGCACTTTCAGCCATACGTGCACTTTCAGCCATACGTGCACTTTCAGCCATACGTGCACTTTCAGCCATACATGCACTTTCAGCCATACGTGCACTTTCAGCCATACGTGCAGTTTCAGCCATACGTGCACTTTCAGCCATACATGCACTTTCAGCCATACATGCACTTTCAGCCGTATGTGCACTTTCAGCCATATGTGCACTTTCAAACATACATTCACTTTCAGCCATACATGCACTTTCAGCCATACATGCACTTTCAGCCATACGTGCACTTTCAGCCATACATGCACTTTCAGCCATACATGCACTTTCTGCCATACATGCACATTCTGCCATGCATGCACTTTCAGCCATACATGCACTTTCAGCCATACATGCACTTTCAGCTACCACTCATGTGCTCTTCCCCCCCCAAGGCCTCTCCCTCACGCCTCTCATCCCTTACTGCTCCCCCCATGCCTCTCACCCCATGCCCCTCTGTGCGGCAGACAACATCTGTCGGAAGACCAAGTGTCCGAAGAACTCCACGTGCATCAGGACAAAGGACAGCCAGGAGGTGGGCTGCCAGTGCGCTCAGGGCTACCGTGACGTCTACGGCCAGTGCAAGCCCCAGTAGCCTGCCTCTCACTTGTAAGTCTCCCCAATAGCCTTTCGTCTTGCTGTGCGCCCCGGGCAAGTACCGTGGCGTGTAAGCCTCCCCAATAGCCTCCCCAAGAACGTTGCCTTTAGTGGGGTAGCATGCCAGTGCGCCCAGGGCTACCGTGGCATCTACGGTCATTGCAAGCCCCAGTAGCCTCCCGTCCCTTATGTAAGTCGTTTCTGAGATGCCCTAAAGAGGGACAGTAAGGAAGTGGCATGCCAGTGCGCCCGGGGCTACCGTGGCGTCTACGGTCATTGCACGCCGCAGTAGCGAGTAGCATCTCATCCCCTCTGTAAGCCCCCGCTTCTTAAGTGTATCCCCTCACCCACTCTCCGCCCCCTGCTTTCTCTCTTTCCTTCCCACGTTGCCGCCCTCTGCCCCTTACCTCCATCTCCCTGTTCGCCTGCTTTCTCCCTTGTACCCCGTCTTCCGTTCCTCTCTCCCTCTCATTTCAGCCCTCTTCCTCTCCTTTCTGCCCACTTCTGCTCCTTTCCCCCCTCCTCCCTCTCCTTTCCGCCCTCTCCCACTCGTCCTGCCCCCCCCGCTCCTCCTGCTCTCCCCTCTCCATGGTGTAATTCTATGGATGGAGTTGTACACTGATGCTTGATTCTTGCCTGGTCTGCTGCAGAGCCTCTGGAGTGCCACTGGTGTGCTGGGATCCGCTGCAGAACCCTTTGAGTGCCCCTGAAGCGCATTGGGTACCCCTGAAGCGCCTTTGAAGCGCCTCTGGAAGTGCTCTTGAAGTGCTCTTGAAGTGCCGTTGAAGTGCCCATGAAGTGTTCTTAGAGAGCCAACACTGTGTTGGGAACTTGAGAGTCAATGATTGCCACGTGAAACTAGGGGACCGAGTTGGGTTGTAGTTTTCTGGAACCTGTCACTCCTTCAATAAGTGTGGCTTGTTTCTTGTTTTTGTCAAATGTTATATATTCTATATATTGTTAGATAGGCTACAGTGAGTTGCCCTCTAAAGGGTACAACACTTTAGGTCGACATTTGTATCCCCCTCCTCTCCCTACTCAATTAAACACTCTCGATACTTGTCTCCTAGCCTAGTTTAAGATGGTATTAGAGTAGGTTTTTAATCCCTCCCACGCTTCCGCTCCCTCCCTTAGCCAGTCCCGAGGCGCTCGTCCCTTAGGCCCCGTTTCGTCGCGGGTAGGACGGCCCCCGCGGGCCTCGTTTTCGTCGCGTTTAAGGGCCCCCGCGGGCCTCGTTTTCGTCACGTTTAAGGGCCCCCGCGGGCCTCGTTTTCGTCACGATTAAGGGCCCCCGCGGGCCTCGTTTCGTCTCGTTCCAGAGGGGACTCTCCCCCCCCCCCCCACCCGCGGGCCCGAGTAGTCGTTCTTAGCCCGCAGCAGCGCGCGCGTTAGCCAGCGGCAGCCGCGCACGCCACTGCAGCACGCACATTGCAGCAGCAGCGCGTGCATTGCTGCAGCAGCACGACTAGGCAGCAGCGCGTGCATTGCTGCAGCAGCACGGCTAGGCAGCAGCGCGTGCATTACTGCAGCAGCCCGGCTAGGCAGCAGCACGTGCATTGCAGCAGAAGCACGGCTAGGCAGCAGCGCGTGCTCCTGCAGCAGCAGCACGGCTAGGCAGAAACTAGCCGCCAGCAGCAGCTAGCCACCGGAACCTAGCCGCCAGCAGTTGGCGCCAGCTAGCACCTCCCACCCGCCCACAGCCCCTTTCAACCGCTCACAGCCCCTTCCAACCGCTCACAGCCCGTTCCAACCGCTCACAGCCCCTTCCAACCGCTCACAGCCCCTTCCAACCGCTCCCAGCCCCTTCCAACCGCTCACAGCCCCTTCCAACCGCTCACAGCCCCTTCCAACCGCTCCCAGCCCCTTCCAACCGCTCACAGCCCCTTCCAACCGCTCACAACCTCGTCCAACCGCTCACAGCCCCTTCCAACCGCTCATACTCACAGTGTTTCGCACCGTCGCGGCTGGAGGCCGCTCCGCTTAGCTGTCTAGACTAGCCTTGACGTTCGTTGTTAGCTAGGTCTCTCCTCGGCTCGTCAGCCCTGCCTCCTCCAGCCGTTTACTAGACTGGCGTTCCTAGCTCTGTTTTCCTCCGTGCTCCAGCAGTACTCCGCCGTTCTCCCTCCTGGCGCTCCGTAGGCTTCCTCCTCGTTCTTAGCTCAGCCTCTGCCGAGCTCCAGCCGCCTCTAGCATGGCATCGCTCATGGAGTCTCGTCGCCTCCGTTTCGACGCGGAGGGACGCCCGATAGAGTTTAGCTCCTGGCAGCGCCAGACCATGCGCTTCCTCACCAGCCAGCGGCAGGACGGCGCCACTCTGTGGGCTCACGCGTCTGGTGCCCTACAGGCCCCCCCGTCCCCCGCCGCCCTGCCGACCGCCCCGGAGCCGACCCCTACGGCCCAGGCGGACTACGACCATCGGGTCCTGGCCAGGGACGTGTGGCTCTCGCGTGACGCAGCCGCCGCTCTCACTCTGTCGGAGCTTCTCCCCCCGACTGAGGCCACCCACTTTGACCAGGTGGAGACTGCACAGGGGGTTTGGGAGGCTATTGTTGCTCGCTACTCCACCCCCTCCTCTGCCTCCCTCAGTCGCCTCCTCATGCCGTTTGTGTTTACCGACCTAGGCTCGTTTGCGACTGTTTCCGACCTAGTGACTCACCTCCGCTCGCTTGACGCCGGTTTCCGCGCTGCCTGCACCGACGCACAACTTCTTGTTGCTCCCCCCCCCATGTGGCTCACTGTGCACTGGTTAGTCACCGCCTCCCTGACCGCCTTGCCACTGCCCGCGACGCGCTTCTTCAGAAGCACCCCACTGAGCTCACTATCGACCTCCTAGCGACTGCTCTACGGACCATCGAGAGTAGTCTCCTCACCGTTGCCTCCGCCACTGATGCGGTCGCCCCCCGTCTCTTTGCGGGGTGTGCCGCTCCTCAGCTTCCCACTTTCACCGCTACCCGCGCTTCTGCTGCTGTGTCGGTCTCTGAGGACACTGCTGCCGTTTCTGCCGCAGACTGGCAGAAACGGGGCAAGAGTGGCAAGAAGGGCGGGAAGGGGGGGGGTGGGGGCGGTGGAGACGGCGGTGGAGGTGGCGGTGGAGGTGGGAGCGGCGGTGGTGGCGGAGGCGGCGACGGTGGCGGCGGTGGTGCACCAGGGGGAGGGGGCCTTGGAGGAGGTACAGGACAGACAGGCCCACCCACAGGTGGTGGCCCGACCGGTGGGGGCGTTGCCCCCCAGCAGCAGCAGCCACAGCAGCACCAGCCACAGCAGGGACAGCAGCAGCAGCTGGGACAGCAGCAGCAGCAGGCACCGCAGCAGTTGCAGCAGTGGGGGCCCCCGCTGCAGTGGGGTCCGCGGCAGCACTGGGGTCCCCCGCCGCAGTGGGGTCCGGGAGGCCCTGGGAGCACCGGCCGCAGCAGCAGCTCTTCCAGCTGGGCCCCTCGCCCCCCTCGCCGTGACGCTGGCCCCTGCACCCACTGGTGCGTCACCGGGCCGGGCAGCCCCTGTCTCTGTGGTCGCGACAACCACTCTGCCGCGCGGTGCTTCCGCCGCCTCGACGACCTCTACCGGGCTCGTTGGGGCCCTCAGGCGGTCACGCCTCGCTGGTCTCGTCTGTTAGCCCGTAAGATTGATGTTTTTGATCTGTCTATGGACGATGCGCGTCAGCATGCTTTGTATGTTGATGCTGACTATAGTGCTGATGGATCTGTGTGCTCGCGTGTTCGTAGGTTAGCCTGCTTGCCTCCTGCTAGTGTAGCCTTGTGCCTGTCTAGCTTAGGTGCTTGTGTTGCTGCCCTAGGTGCTTGTGAAGCGACTGAGTCAGGTGACCCTCCGGCTGAGGCCTCTTTGTCGTTCACGCTGGACTCGGGCGCGTCTCAGTGCTTCTTCCGCGACCACACGACCCTTACACCACTCCTCACCCCTGTGTCGGTGGCTCTGGCTGATCCCACCTCTGGACCAGCTGTTGCGCGCATCTCCACCACCCTCCCCTGCCCTGTGGTCCCCTCAGGTGTCCTGCGCGGCCTCGACATCCCCTCGTTCACTCGGAACTTGGTGGGTGTTGGATACCTCCAGGACAGGGGGATCACGGTTACCTTCGTGGGGGGTGGGCGGACTGCAGTCTGTACAGACGCTACCACAGGTGCTGTTCTGGCCACGTTCACCCGGGACCCCCGCTCCGGTCTCTACGTCCTCCACACCGAGCGCTCCCCGGTCGCGTCCTCCCCTCAGGTCGTTGCGTCCTCTCCGGCCCAGGTCCCCAGTCCACTTGCTGTGTCTAGCCAGGTAGTAGTGTCCGGTCCGGTCGCTGTGTCCAGTCCCGTCGCTGCGTCGTGCTCCTGTCGCTCTCTCACCCACTGCACCGTCCTGTGGCACCACCGCCTTGGCCACCCGTCGCTCCCTAGCCTACGTGGCATGCTCAGTCAGGGACTTGTCTCAGGTCTCCCACGCACCTTCCCGTCGCTCCCGCTCTCGCCTGCCCCTCCTTGCTCTCCGTGCGTCGCCGGTCGCTTACGCGGCACTCCCCACTCCTCCTCCCTTCGTCCGGCCACCGCTCCCTTCGAGACTCTCCACTTGGACGTCTGGGGCCCTGCCCCGACGCAGGGGTCTGGAAGGGAGCGTTACTTTCTGGTGGTTGTCGACGACTTCTCCAGGTACACCATGGTGTTCCCTCTTGCGAAGAAGTCCGAGGTGACTGCTACGCTGATCAGGTGGCTTCTAGCCACTGAGGGCACTCGTGGTCGTCGAGTCAGTTGTCTCCACTCCGACCGTGGGGGCGAGTTTCGCTCCGGCATTCTCGGCGGATTCTGCGGCGAACAGGGCATCACCCAGTCCTGGACGCTGCCAGAGTCCCCACAGCAGAATGGGGTTGCTGAGCACCGCATAGGCTTGGTCATGGACATTGCCCGCACGTCCATGATCCATGCCCGTGCGCCCCATTTTCTGTGGCCCTACGCGGTTCGCTACGCCGCACACCAGCTGAACCTCCAGCCGCGTGTCTCGCGGCCCGAGGCTTCACCGACCAGTCTTTGGACTGGTTCCCCTGGTGTCGGGTCGGCCTTTCGAGTCTGGGGCTGCCTTGCACTTGTTCGCGACACCTCCGCGGACAAGCTCTCGGCACGCGCCGTCCCCTATGTCTTCCTTGGTTTCCCAGTGGACTCTGCCGACTGGTCCTTTTACCACCCTCCCCTCCACCAGTTCCTAGACTCCCGTGACGTCCGGTTTGACGAGTCCATGTCCTACTACACCCGGTACCCCTGTCGAGGTCTCCCGGTACCCCCTCCCCCTCTCTTCCTCGCACCCTCTCCTCCTCCTGCTCCCGCCCCTCCGGTACCCCCGCCCCCCCCTGGTCCTGCCCCGTCTGGTGTGTCCCACGTTACCCCCCTACCCTCGGTCACGCGTCAGGTATCGTCTCCCTCCCCACAGTCCTCCTCACAGTCCCCTCAGCAGCCTTCGGCACTTTAGCGACAGGTTCCTGTGGACTCAGTTGGTGTTGGAGCTGGAGGTGCAGCCGCTGGCGGTGCTCGGTCTGGGGGTACTCGGTCGCGGGGTGCTGGAGCTGGAGGTGCTGGCGCAGGTGGCGCTAGCTCTGGGGGTGCTGGAGCTGGAGGTGCTGGCGCAGGTGGCGCTAGCTCTGGGGGTGTTGGAGCTGGAGGTACTGGCGCAGGTGGCGCTAGCTCTGGGGGTGCTGGAGATGGAGGTGCTGGCACTGGTGGTGCTGGCTCTGGGGGTGCTAGGGTTGGAGGTCCTGGCACTGGAGGTGCTGGTTCTGGGGGTGCTAGAGTTGGAGGTCCTAGCACTGGAGGTGCTGGTTCTGGGGGTGCTGAGTCTGAGGAGTCTGACCCTGGTTCTGCGGAGTCCACTCCGCCTCCCCACCGCCACGACACACGTCTCCAGGCTGCCCGCCGGCGTGAGCGTGAGGAGCAGGAGCGTTTGGAGAGGGAGCGGCAGGAGCTGCGGGTGCTGGACCTTCTGGAGCAGCAGCGGCAGCAGCAGCAGCAGCAGCAGCCGCAGCAACCGCAACCGCCGCCGCAGCAGCAGCCGCCACCGCAGCTTCCTCTGGAGCGGCAGTTGTTCCCACCTGTGAGTGGCCTGCGGGCCCTTGGCCTTTCCTCCTCTCCTCCTGTCCGCTCCCAGTCTCCTCCTGTGTTTGTTCCTCCGTTGCCTCCTCCTGACGAGCGTCCGGCGGTCTGGTCTTCTACTCCTCCCCAGTCTCCTCCTCCTTCAGTCCGTCGCGACTTGGTCACTCATTGTCCTCCGCGTGCTCGTCACTCGTCCCTTGTCACTGACCTCCACACTGCCCTCCTTTGTACTTCTTGTCGTCGATCTCCTTCTCCTGTGTCCGTTCTCCCGTCTCCTTCTCCGTCCTCTCTCCCAGCCCTCCCCACTCCTATCACTGACTACTACCGCACTGTTCGTCCTGTTGCCGCACGTGTCCTCGCCACTCTTGTCACCGACTCTCGTTTCCCTCCGTCGTCGGTCTCTGCTCTCACTGCCGCTGTCGCTGAGTTTGCTGCCGCCAGCCGCCTTGACTACGCCACCCGTGTGGTGCCAGCTCCTCCCTACCGTCCTCTGTTCGTCGGGGGTGAGTTTGCCCTTGGCTGTGACGTCCTAGAGGACAGAGAGACTGAGTTGGAGTACTGGGCAGCCGCTTCTCCCTCTGTGTGTGCCATGCTGCTCTCCTCTGAGGGAGACCCTGACGCCCTTGACATACCGACTCCTCGCACTTACCGCGAGGCAGTGTCAGGGGCGTGGGCCTCTCAGTGGAAAGCGGCTATGGACTCAGAGTTGGCGTCTTGGAGATCCACAGGCACCTACGTCGACGCAGTTCCCCCTCCCAGGGCGAACGTAGTCGATGGCATGTGGCTCTTCAAGGTAAAGCGGCCGCCTGGAGTACCGCCGGTGTTCAAGGCGCGCTACGTGGCTAGGGGCTTCAGTCAGCGTGAGGGGTTTGACTTCTTCCAGACCTTCGCCCCGACCCCGAAGATGACCACTCTTCGGGTGTTACTCCACATAGCAGCGCAGCGAGACTACGAGCTGCACTCCCTCGACTTCTCCACTGCGTTCCTCCAGGGCCGACTGCACGAGGAGATCTGGCTGCGCCGTCCTCCTGGCTTCACTGACACCTTCCCACCTGGGACCCAGTGGAGCCTGAGGCGACCAGTCTACGGTCTCCGCCAGTCGCCCCGTCAGTGGCACGACACTCTTCGCTCCACGCTTCGTGACCTTGGGTTCAGCCCGTCCTCCGCCGACCCGTCGCTGTTTGTTCGAGCGGGTTCTACTCCTTTCTTTATCCTTGTCTACGTCGACGACTTGGTGTTTGATACAGCAGACAGGGCAGCACTAGCTCAGGTGAAGTCCGAACTGTAGAAGAGACACAAGTGCACTGACCTGGGTGAGCTGCAGCGCTACCTTGGCCTGCAGATCACCAGGGACAGAGCCGCTCGCACCATCACACTAACACAATCTCACATGGTGCAGCAGGTCCTTCGACGGTTCGACTTCCAGTTCTCCACCACACAGCCCACTCCTCTTGCTGTTGATCACAGACTCACGGGCCCCTTTCCTGACGAGCCCTTCGAGTCCAGTGGTCCCTACGCAGAGCTGTTGGCTGCCTCATGTACCTGATGACTTGTACTCGGCCGGACCTCGCCTTTCCCCTCAGCATCCTTTCTCGCTTTGTTGCGACTGGGAGACACCGTCCTGTCCACTGAACAGCAGCTGTGAGGGTGGCGAAGTACCTGGCGACTACAGCAGGTGTGGGGCTTGTGCTTGGAGGGACTCAGCTAGTGGCGTTGACTGGTCACTGCGACTCTTCCTACGCTGACGACGTGGAGACTCAGCGCTCGACTCAGGGTTACTGCTTCAGTCTGGGAGCTGGTGCTGTGTTGTGGAGGTCTACACGGTCGTCGTCTGTGGCTACTTCTAGCGCAGAGGCAGAGATCTACGCTGGTGCCATGGCGGCACAGGAGCTTCGCTGGTTGACCTTCTTGCTTGCCGACCTTGGTGAGCGGCCTCGCTCTGCACCGACCTTGTACGCTGACAACAAGGCCATGATCCTCCTGTGTCGAGAGCCTCGACTGGAGAGCAGAGTGAAGCACTTTGACGTGAGGTACTTCCTCCTGCGAGAGCTGCAGCGACGCGGCCAGGCCCGCCTGGACTTTGTGGCCTCAGCGGCCAACACTGCAGACGTCTTCACCAAGGCCTTAGCGCTTGGTGACCACCACAGGTTCTGTGTGCAGTTGGGGCTTGTTGAGGTTGGCCCTAGGTTGCTGTAGTCTTGTTGCTTGCTCTACTTGTTGTGTTTCCTATTTTTATTCTAGTGAACTCTTGAACTGGCCTTGTGGCCACTTGCATGTGCTCGGAATTTGTGTGGTGTCCTTGAGATCCACCCTGAGCTTGCCTTGTTTCTTGCGTTGACTGGTCTTGTGACCGTGTGCTCACCTTGCTTGCGTTGATGCCCCTCACTTAGCCTATGGGGGTGTGTCAAATGTTATATATTCTATATATTGTTAGATAGGCTACAGTGAGTTGCCCTCTAAAGGGTACAACACTTTAGGTCGACATTTGTATCCCCCTCCTCTCCCTACTCTATTAAACACTCTCGATACTTGTCTCCTAGCCTAGTTTAAGAGTTTTTACTATCGTGTTTTTATTGAAGTGAGTATGTCGCCTATGCACACGCACATTTGGAAGATCTGTCCTAATGGGTTTGGGTTGGGGAAGGTTTATACGTAGAAAGCAAATCAAAGTTAGGGGATACCATAATCCCCCCTATATACCACAACCCAAACATTAAACACCCTGGGGTGGCATCCATGTGGATCTGGGAGCTGTATAGAGGCGTTCTTTCCTTGAAAGCACCTCCTTTACTGGACAAATTCAATATACCGCATCCTCCTATAAAATAGGGATTTTAAGAGTGATCCATGCACCATGGATTATAGTCGGACAGATTAGATGCGCATCTGCCCCGGTATCGAAAACACTATTGTGTGCTACATCGCTAGTACCGTAAATTGCCACCTATAGGACCCGGGGGACTCTCTACAAATGCTCTAGAAAGTGCTAGGGGGACCCTCTGGCGGATGCAAATTTTTAAGACCCGGGGTACACATATTTATCAGCTATCATTCTGTTTTTTAGGGTGTAAAGCTCAATTCGGGTCGAGGGAGTCTTATATTTGTAACTAGAAACAGCATTTCGTACGTAGATTTAGCTTGTGCGGCGCGTCAGATCTGTGTCAGAATTCGAATCTGACACAAACAACGTGTCAGAATTCGAATCTGACACAAAAGAAGTGTCAGAATTCGAATTGTTGCCAATAAAAACTGACTCGCAAGAGCAATAACAATTACTGTATATATAAAAGGGGGGTCTTATGCTGATTAGGGGCAAAAGGGGGGTCCTCACTAAATCTTCCCAAATAAGAGTCCCCCTGCTCCTTCAAGAGTCCCGGGGACCCTCTTACCGGCGGGTCCTATAGGTGGCACTTTACGGTACTGGAAGCTTTCTCATGGTTCGAGTTCGGGGAGACGTGCGCGAGACAACTCAGGGGGGTAGAGCTTGAGAGATTGTTGTTGAACATTGTTGGCCCCTACTGAACATGACGTGAGGTACAGTAAAATTTTGTACACTACATAAAACTATTTCTGGAAATCTGTTCCAGATTTCAGGACGTGTCTGGAAAACGTAAGAAACGCAGCATAAGGTATTTGTTACGTCTTATTCTGATCACTTCAACAGTCACAAAACAAGGGCAGTCTGTGTAATAAGGCACTCATGTCCGCCGCTCCGATTTCCCAAACTGGCTCCCCGAGAAATTCGTGGCAGCACTGCCACTCCAGGCGCTCTTTTAAAACTCTGCTATTCATGGGCTGTGCTTTTTAGGGCCCAGTACAGCACTGGAGAGGCTTGAGGGGTTGTGCCATGGCTCTCGGCAGAGCAGTGGCGCTGGAGGGCTCTGCATGCAACAGACAAGGCGCGAATGCATAATTAGCACAGATGCATGGTGGCAGAAGATAGAGAGGAGGGAGAGGGATTGTGTTGTGGGGTTGTGTAGGGGCTCTCGGCATAGCAATGGTGCTGGAGGGCTCTGCATGCAACAGACAAGGCGAGAATGCATAATTAGCACAGAGATGTATGGTGGGAGAAGATGGTACGAGGGAAGGAAAGAGAGGACAGAGGGACGGGGAAGGGGAGAGAAGGAGGAAGAGCTGTGCAACAGATGAGAATGGACGATTAGCACACACTTGGAAGATGATTGAGAGGAGGGAGAGGGAGAGACGGAAGAGGGGACGAGGGGAGAGAGAGAGAGAGAGAGAACGCAGAGGCAGAATGGGGACAGGGTGCGAGAGAGAGGTCGAGAGGCAGATAGAGGAGGGGGGGGATGTAGGACGAGACAGGATGAGAGAGGCTGAGGAGGAGGAGGAGGAGGAGGAGGAGGAGGAGGAGGAGGAGGAGGAGGAGGAGGGGGAGGAGTAGGAGGAGGAGGAGGAAGAGAGAGGGAGAAGGCAGAACGGAGTGGGAGGGAGGGAGGGAGGGAGGAGAGGGTGGGAGGGAGAGGCGGAGAGGCAGATAGAGGAGGAGGGGGATGTAGGATGGGACAGGATGAGAGAAGGGAGATTGGGACAATGGACAGGGTGCAAAAAGGAGGCGGAGAGGCAGGTAGAGGAGGAGGGGTATGTAGGACGGGACAGGATGTGAGAGGGAAGGAAGATAGAGCGTGAGGGAAATACAGAGTGAAAGCGAGGGCTTACAGAGAAGAGGGAAAGCTAGTGAGGTTTGCACTGGCCTTAGACTCTACGGTAGCCCTGGGCGCACTGGCATGCCACCCCACTAAAGGCGAGAGGGAAGGCAATTGGGGCTTGCATTGACCATAGACGTTACGGTAACCCTGGGCGCCTTTGCACCCCAGCTCCAGGCTGTCGTTTGTCTTGATGCACATTCAACGCAGAGACTTACATTCGGTTGAAGGTTCTTGGGGCTTGCATTTGCCGTAGACTTGCCGGTAGCCCTGGTTGCACTGGCACCCCACCTCCATGCTGTCGTTTGTCTTGATGCACGTGGAGTGTTCCGGGCACTTGACACGGTTGCAGATGTCGTCTGGATCACATGGGAGGAAGGGGTGAGACGGATGGGATGGGAGGAAATGGCATGGGGGGAGAAGGATGGGGGAAAGAATGGGGGGAGAGGCATGGGGAAATAATGGGGGGAGAGGCATGGGGAAAGAATGGGGGGTGAGGCATGGGGAGAAGAATGGGGGGAGAGGCATGGGGGAAAGAATGGGGGGAGAGGCATGGGGGAAAGAATGGGGGGAGAGGCATGGGGGAAAGAATGGGGGGAGAGGGATGAGGGAAAGAATGGGGGGAGAGGGATGGGGAAAAGAATGGGGGGAGAGGCATGACTCATGAGGAAAAGCGACATAAGTTGCACCAGGAAGCGCATGGCTCCACTCAAAAGGAGTCTGCTTTTGAGTCGACTCAAAAGAAGCGCATGGCTCCACTCAATAGCAGCAAGCGCATGCATGGTAGCCGCAGGGCACAGGTGGAAGCTGCGAGTGATGTTTGTTCAAGGCGATGCATGAGCATCAAGCCATGCATAGCAATAACAGCAGAGAGGTGAATGCATGGTGGCAGCAGCAAGGCACTCACCGAGAACGCAGCGGATGGACTTCATAGATGCGTCCATCTTGAACGCACTGCTCACAGCATGGGAGGGACGCATGGGGGAGGGGCGCATGGGAGGGACGCATGGGAGGGACGTATGGGAGCAGGTGCAGGGCACATATGGCAGCAGTAGGATGGACTTCACTGGTGCGCCCATCTTGAACGCACTGCTCACAGCTGCACCGCGTTGCACACCGTACGATCCAAAAACACGTCCCATTACACCACACCAGCACATCTTCCCCCCCCTCCCCCCCCCCCCCCCCCCCCCCGCCAGTAACAAGCAAGTGAGCACTCACCTCATGTCCCTTGTGTGGTAAACCGTGTTTTGGTACTCTGCCGCTGCAGAACCCGAGCAGTCGGGCGACGCGAACAGCTGCACCGCGTCGCACACCGTGCGCTCGAAAAGCGCGTCACCCAAAAACACGTCCCACAACAGCAGCGCGTCCACTGCACCTCCTCCGCCGCCGCTCGCGCCGCCGCCGCTCGCGGACGCGACTTCGAGCATCACCGACCCCACGGATACGCAGCGCTCAAATTCGAATCGGACTTTGCGCGGCTGCGCAAGCGAGCCGAGGAACATCACGGTCCCCATTTGCACATAACGTCGCACCAGGTCGGTGGGCGCAGCGGCATTCGCTCCCATGGCTGCAGGGAGAAGGGCAAAGACAAAAAGGGAAGGGAAGGGCTGAAAACAAGCGAGCCGAGGAGCATCAGCGTGCCCATGCGCACATAAAGCCGCACCACATCGCTGGCAGCCACAACATTTGCTGCCGTCGCTGCGAGCATGTCAAACAGAGAAGGGCGAAGACGGAAAGCTAAGCGAAAAGGTCGGAACGAGCGAGCCGAGCCGAGGAGCATCACCGAGCCCACATGCACATAAACCCGCATCACATCGCTGCCAGCAGCGGCATTTGCTGCCATCACATCGCTGCCAGCAGCGGCATTTGCTGCCATCACATCGCTGCCAGCAGCGGCATTTGCTGCCATCACATCGCTGCCAGCAGCGGCATTTGCTGCCATCACATCGCTGCCAGCAGCGGCATTTGCTGCCATCACATCGCTGCCAGCAGCGGCATTTGCTGCCATCACATCGCTGGCAGCAGCGGCATTTGCTGCCATCACATCGCTGCCAGCAGCGGCATTTGCTGCCATCACATCGCTGCCAGCAGCGGCATTTGCTGCCATCACATCGCTGGCAGCAGCGGCATTTGCTGCCATCACATCGCTGCCAGCAGCGGCATTTGCTGCCATCACATCGCTGCCAGCAGCGGCATTTGCTGCCATCACATCGCTGCCAGCAGCGGCATTTGCTGTCATCACATCGCTGCCAGCAGCAGCATTTGCTGCATCGACAGGGTTCAGAACGAGCGAGCCGAGGAGCATCACCGAGCCCATGCGCACATAAACCCGCACCACCGTCATGAAAAGAAAGTGTTTTTGAGACACCTCAAAAAGAGCCCACGCGCACATAAACCCGCACCACCGTCATGAAAAGAAGGTGTTTTTGAGACACCTCAAAAAGAGCCCACGCACACATAAACCCGCACCACCGTCATGAAAAGAAGGTGTTTTTGAGACACCTCAAAAAGAGCCCACGCGCACATAAACCCGCACCACCGTCATGAAAACAAGGTGTTTTTGAGACACCTCAAAAAGAGCCCATGCGCACATAAACCCGCACCACCGTCATGAAAAGAAGGTGTTTTTGAGACACCTCAAAAAGAGCCCACGCGCACATAAACCCGCACCACCGTCATGAAAAGAAGGTGTTTTTGAGACACCTCAAAAAGAGCCCACGCGCACATAAGCCGGCAGCAGTCGTGCCTTCGGCGGCTGGTGCTCCCAGCGACACTCCCACCTCACTCGTTGCAAAGACATCACACAGAGGGAAAGGAAGAATGGCAAGACGCGTCACACAAGGAAGGGCACAAGTCACGCCCGTAGTACCAGTCGGGTCGGTGCTGCCGCCGACAGCAGTCCTCCCTTTTATGGCTGGTTCTTCCAGCGCCAGCGACACACCCACCCCACTCGCTGCGAAGACGCACACGGGGAAGGGAGAATGGCAAGACACGTCACACAGGGAAGGGCAAAAGTCACGCCAGTGGAGTCGGGGCGTCACCAGCAGTCGTCCCTTTTGACGGCAGGTCCTTCCAGCGCCAGTGGCACACCCACCTCACTCGCTGCAAAGACGTCACATGGAGGGGAAGGGAGAGCAGGAAGTGACACGGGGAAGGGCGACAGTCAGCGACAACGGCCTTCCGATGTTGGTGTGACTTTTGAGAATCTTCAAGAGTCACACCAAGAGAAGTGAGACGGGGAAGGGCGACAGTCTGCAACAACGACATTTCGACCTCACTCGCTGCGAGGGACGTTACACGGGGAAGCGGAACGTCGAGTAAGTAACTGGAGGTTTCTTTTTGTCGGCCATATAGTCGAAAGTGCACGGAGCGGTTTGTAAAGCTTTTCAAGAGCGAGGGAGGCGACGAGGGCGGGGAATCGCGTACCAAAGAGGATGGCGACGACGAGCAGCGCGACAGCGGCCTTGAAACCTCCCATGACGATGCTGCTGCTGCTCGTGGTGGTGGTGACGAAAGAGGCTCAGCAAGTGCGACGAGATGGTAGTCGTCTGGGGCGAAGTGGAGTGGAACGGAATCCGTCGAGTTGGAAGAGACGGATTGACGCGACGCTAAGGCAGCTTTTGGGTCGACTCAAAGCGAGTAGCGACGAGGAGCGGTAGTCGCCTGGGGCGAACTGGAGTGGAAGAGAATCCCGTCGAGATTTTTGAGTTGACTCAAAAGTCACCTCGCTACACGAGGGGTGGTAATCGCCTGGGGCCTCTACAAAATGTGTGACACCACAGCCCATGCCCAAAACTGGGTTTTCCCGATCTTTGCGCACAGACTATTGAACAAGCAATGACTAGGGTTACTTGAAACATTGTTGAGGAGGGTACGCATTGCTGAAACATGGATCACTTTTCAAAAACTATGTCCCCCCTTCCCCATTGTATCCCACGACGTCTAGCAGTTCGAATCGAACAAGCCCCGCACGTGCCAATTTCGATTCACACAGCGAATCCATTTCGGTTCTGCTGGATGTCGGGTGGTTTCCTTGCGCAACATCAAGCCCACAGAATTTGCTTGAACCTGGGATCTAAAATCGCATCTGCAGAAATTCCCTGGCGTTATAGCAAACGCACCTATAGCGAGTCATGAACCAGATAAGATGTTGCTGACTCGTCACTCTGAAGGTGTGGTGTCACAAATGGATGTGACAGCGCGGATTGGTTTAGACATCCTCGCGAACAGAAACTCAGACCGATTAGGGTTTCCGTTTTTTCGCCTAGCTTCGTTGTGGCCTGTCTGAACCCTCTAGCAGTGGTACATTCCAACCCACACGAGATTTTGACGATCTCGCAAACCCAGTCGCCAACATTTGGTGTGCGAGATGCTTTTCCCTCCCTCAGCTAGTCAAAATCCACCCATAGCTCAATATGCGTTGTTTTTCTCTTGCACGATCTCATTCTCCATTCTCTTCACTTGCTTATCTAGCACGGTGCTGTGGCTTCTGGTGTCTATCCGTTCCTCCCAATTGGCCCCGTTTCTAACATATGTCCCTATTTCCTGTTCTTACACCTTCTCTTTAGCAGGATATCGAAAGTCCGGGGTGGTGGACAATTAGTGCTGTGATGGCTGCATGAAACCCGTTATTACGCTACCTTCTCACACCCTACGCGTGCCGGTCCATTCTTGTGAGTTTCTGTTCCAGGTACGTAAGCATTGGCTAATGCGACCTTGTGAGCACCTCTTTCTTTGCAGAATGCTAGGGCTCATCACAAGGCTCTACATCAGCGATTTCCGAGACTATCGTCAAGCGTCCGTGAATATTATTGGCCATGTAACAGTTTTATTTTTCGAGAAGTTGAATCGCCAATCTATCGCCGAGTTTATCACGGTTTCTAGAGGTGCTTCCTGCGGTGCAGGGCGGAGCTTATAAACGGCATACATGATTGGTAGGTTCATGTCACAGGAGTCATTTTTCTAACTTATCTCTGCTGTGTGTGTTGGTGCTCGGTGCAGAGCCCGCTTCCGGTCCGAAATAAGCTACTCGTATCGGGATGTTACAAATATTGTGTGTGGATTTGTTGTGCGGGGGTATTTATCTAGGATGTTAGGTTTTTTCTTCTTTTTATAAATTGGTAAGGCAGGCTAGGTCTTGTGACGATGGCTATCATCGTTGTAATGTTGAGTTCAAATATAAGACATGAGGAACCATGACAAGTGTTAGCAGAAACCTAATTCATGAGTGTCACGATTGGATATTGGCACCCAATTGGCAGGCTGTAATATGTGATTTCTAGTTTAAACTGTTTTAATGATCACATTCCATGCTCTCAATAGGATAAAATACAAGCGCTTGTATTTTCTCCTATTGAGAGCATGGAATGTGATCATTGATCCGCTATAGTAACTTATTGTAAATGTTCTCCTGGTTGCTATAGTGAGGATGAGCAATGTTCGCGATGTGCTGAAGCACTCCTTGCCGAGCCTACTCAAGTTTGCACATGCACACGTTGTTATGATTCCTCGAACATACCTCAACTGTTCAGCACTCATCATGATAAACCACAAGCATTGATGGCAGGGGAAAACATCAAACAATCCCCGTGAAATGTTTTTTCATTCCTTTTCCTTCTGACAATTTTTAGAGGCGAACTGGAGTGGAAGAGAATCCGTCAGTCAGAAGCGACGGACTGGCGCGACCCTACGACAGCGAAAGCGGTGAGTTATGAGTTTTGAGCCGGCTTAGAGACGATGGCAGGGTGGCTAGTGCGCGTCGTGTTTCGACTCAAAACACGGACTGACGTGATTCTTAGTAGGGCAGCGATAGCGGTGAGTTATATCTTAAAAGCAATACTGCAGCGACTATCAGAACTTAGGCGCGCTGTAGCAGCGAGGAAGCGCCTTAAAGCGCGCGTATTCTGTACGGCCCGTTTCCGATAATCCCCGTGAGACTAGTGGTTGCGATGGCAGTGCAGCTCGCGACTTGAAATCCCGGCCGCCAACGGCGCGGCAAGAATTGTTTCCGGCTATTTGTTTGACTTGGGAGTGTACATAATCCGAGCTCATCTCTGCGACGCAACGAAACCTGAGGGCGCGTTCGTTCCGTTTCCAAGTCGAAAATAAGTTCGAACTTTAGGTGGTTACCTTGTTCGCAAATCTCGTCAAGAGCGAGTGACGAACATCTCGAATTTCAGGGTTAATGAAAGTTCGAACTTGAAATATGAACATGACTCGAGTTGGCTTTGTGAACGTGCGTGAGCACGTTCATGTGAGCGTGTGTGTTTCGGCACGTACGAACACTATGCGAAGTTTGCGACTCTATTGCGAAAATTACAATGGCATTAATTTGACTTGGCGAGCATGTACCGGGTAACTTAAAGCTCGAATTCTGGCGTTCGACCTTGCGTGTGTGATTGCATCTTTGCAGTGTTATTCCCGCAATTTTCGAACTTCGCTACAAGGAAAGTCGAATTTCATTCGACTTAGGCTAAAAAAAAACTGCCCCCAAAACTTGAACTTTGTCCAATTTGACGAAACGAACGCCCCCTAAGCTGAGAACGCGACTCCCACAATCGTCTACGCAATCGCGTTCCGATTGGCTGCCTGCATTGCGGGAAACCCGTGGGCCGGCAACAACGACTGTGTTGGTCCGACATTGCGTGTGGCTGTGCTGTGCCGTGCCGTGCCGTGTGGGGCGCGGTTGACGTGGCTACGTCCGTGACCAAACACAAGTATACATACGTGTATGGTTGTGCTCCCCCCATCCGCCTGCTTCTTTCCTTGCCGAACTGAAGCAGCTTGTAGAGAAACTCACAAACAACACAAGAATGACACAAACTGAATTGATGGCATATTTGCAGATTCGTTATACATAAATTAGGGTAATCCCAAAAAAAAAAAAAAGACAAAATAAGGCTCACGAGGTTAAACATGGCGTGAGTGAAATGGGCATCGTATGTATGCACTACGCAGCTAGCAAAAAAGTTCTATCCAGACCGTAGAAGAAGCATAGGTTCCAGATGACGTGCGAGCGACATCTCGCTAAAGGCACAGTTCGGGTGAGGAATAAAAGGTTCTTTAAACAGTACTGTACGCGTTTTTTTTTAACATTAAGGGTTGTTTCACATAACATGATTGCCATAATGGGATGCAGGGGCTCTGCTTATTAGGGGCCAGTGGAGAACTGGAGATGCTTGAGGGATTGTGCTGTGTTTATTAGCATACGGTAGCCGCGGCTCCCAGCATAGCAGTGGCTACAGGTGAGAGGGCAGGCTACTGGGGCAGTGAGCAGGACGCTAGTGGGGCTGACATTGACCATAAACGTTTTGGTAGCCCTTAGCACACAGGCACCCCACCTCCTGGTCGTCCTTTGTCTTGATGCACGTGGAGTGTTTTGGGCACTCGACACGGCTGCAGATGTTGTCTGGATGATAGAGCACGGAGGCAGGCATGGGGGGAGAGGGATGGGGGGTGAGGTTAATGGGAGTGGACTGAAAAGTCACCTCCTGCTCGTCCTTTGTCTTGAAGCACGTGGAGTGTTTTGGGCACTGGGCACGGCTGCAGATGTTATCTGGATGACAATGGAAGGATGGGGGGAAAGGGATGGGTTGAGAGGCATGGGGTGCGGCATAGGGAAAAGAGGCATAAAGTGAAACAGAAAGTGCACGCATGGCAGCAGCAGCCCGTGCATGGCAGCGGCAGCCCATGCATGCCCGTCGTTCATTTTGTCTGCAGCAGCATGCTTGCAGTAGAAGCAAGGCGAATGCATGGCAACAGCAGAAAGGGCGACAGTTGACATAGCAGCAGGGGCACTCATCGAACACGCAGCGACTTTTGAGACTTCTCAAAAGTCTGCAGCAGCATGCATGGCATTAGAAGCAAGGCGAATGCATGGCAACAGCAGAAAGGGCGACAGTTGACATAGCAGCAGGGGCACTCATCCAGTGCAGGGCAGTAGAAGCAAGGTGAAAGCACATCAGCAGCCGAAAGGGAGACAGTTGACATGGTAGCAGCAGGGCACTCACCGAGCACGCAGCGAATGGACTTCACTGCTGGACTTATCTTGGTGACACAGCATGGCAGCAGCAGGGTGTGCATGGCAGTAGATGACAAATAGCAGAGGAAAGGCCAATGCAGGACAGCAGCAGGGCACTCACCGAGAACGCAGCGGATTGACTTCACTGATGGCCTTATCTTGGTGGTACTGCTCACACACGCACGCAGGGGGAGGGGGATGAGGGGCGCATGGGAGGGGCGCATGGGAGGGACTTTAGAGTCAACTCGAAAGTCAACTCGGGTTGACTTCACTGATGGATTTATCTTGGTGGTACTGCTCACACACGGACAGTGGGAGGGGCACATGGAAAGGGGGGTGGGAGGGCACACGGGGGGGGGGGGGGGGGGGGGGTTGATTGGGCATGGGGAGGGGCGCATGGGGGCATGAGGGGAGTTGATGATGCATGAAGGGAGCTGTCGCACGTAGGTAAGTGGGGGATGCAAGCAATGCAAGTGAGCGAGCTCTGCTGCGCTGCGCGGCGGCGCGGCTGCGCGGCAGTAACAAACGGGTGAAGTGGATCCTGAGAGCTCACTTTTGAGTCGACTCAAAAGTCGCGCCAGGAACACGCGAGGTGAATCCTGAGAGCTCACTGGAAACTCGCCGCCACAGCACCCGAGCAGTCAGGCGACGCGAACAGTTGGAAAGGAGCTTTGTTGCACACCAAGACAAGCAGATGAAAGCCTCACCGGAATAGGTATTCTCCCGTGTACTTGAAACTCGCCGCCACAGCACCCGAGCAGTCAGGCGACGCGAACAGCTGCACCGCGTTGCACACCGTGCGATCCCCCCCACCAAACACGTCCCACCACACCACCGCGTCTCCCGCGCCGCCGCTCGCGCCGCGCACGCCGCGCGCGCTGGCGCCGCCGCTCGCGCCGCCGTCGATGCTCGCGGACGCGCCTTGGGGCACGGGCACGCAGCGCGCCCAGTCGAAGTCGACGTAGTTGGGCTGCGCGAGCGAGCCGACGAGCACCACCGTGCCCACTCGCAGCTTGGCGGGCACGACTTCTTTGGCTGCCGCATTTGCTCCCATTGCTGTGAGGATGATGTTGGACAGAAGGAGGAGAGCCCAGAATGACAAGGGAAAGGGTCAGAACGAGCGAGCCGACGAGCATCACCGTGCCGACGCCTTTTGAGACGTCTCAAAAGTCAGAACGAGCGAGCCGACGAGCACCACCGTGCCGACGCCTTTTGAGACGTCTCAAAAGTCAGAACGAGCGAGCCGACGAGCACCACCGTGCCGACGCGCACCTTGGCGGGCACCACTTCTTTGGCTGCTGCCGTCGCTGCGAGCACGTCAGACGGAGAAGGGGAAAGCGAGAACGGGAAGGAAAAAAGGTAACATGGGAAGAAGTCCTTTGACTCAGCCGCATTTGCTCCCACCGCTGCGAGCATGTCAGACGGAGAATGGCGAACCCAGAAAGGGAAGGGAAAAGGTCGAAACGAGCGGGTCGACGAGCATCACCTTAACGACGCAGTTCCGCGGATACCGACGTCATTAAGGATCTGGTGCTCCCTACCAAGCCCACGCGTAGCTCCGAGCATCAATGAGGCGAGAGGGAGGGGGGGAGGCGTACCAATGAGGATTGCAACGACGAGAAGCGCGGCTGCGGCCTTGGAACCTCCCATGCTGCTCGCGGTGGTGGTGGTGCTCGCGGTAGTAACGAAGGAAGTTCGATTCTTAGTAGCGTCGAGGGGTTGAACTGGAGAAGCTGTCGAGTCAGACGAGACGGACGGATGCGTCTCAAAGGTGTGATATCAAATCTCAAATGTTCGCGTCGCCTGAGTGTTCTGATGTGAACCCAAAAATATCAATATAGAGCAGCGACGTAGGCAGGGTTGCAGATGTATTCGCTAGCTAGTGCGCGATCTCTGAGTGATGGTCGACGAATTGAGCGCGTTTTCCAGGCGAGGCCTGTTACTAGGGATATATGCTTTAGAGCGCCCGTTTTCGACACGGTCCGTGTTCGATACTCTGGGCTGCGATGACAGCGCAGCTCGTGAGGCCGAACGCCAGCGGCGCGGTAATAATTCACGGAATCTTGAAAATAATTCATCCGCTCATAATTTCAACGAGACAACGAGACCGAAGCTGCAAACGCGGCTCCCATAATCGTCTCCATTCCGCTCGAAGAGGGAGGCAGATCCGTGGACTGTCAACAATGGCTGTGTTGGTCTGACATCGTGCGTGCCGTGCCAGCCTGAGACTGGCTCATCCGTCGCCATTGCTGCTTCTATAACCAATAACGCTGGTGCTGAGAGAATTTCTCCAGTGGCCAATCGGGTGATTCATTCTCTCTCGGGGGGCCTCGATTTACACGAGTGGCCACGAAATTGGGTGATAATTACTCGAGTGGCCACGCCAGGGGATTCCTGCTCGCTTTTTTTTCACCGGCGAATTACCCTATGGGGATTTGTAGCCTCGAAATTCCTTATTCGTGCGAGTGGTATTCCTAGGTAGTGTTCCGTTCTGTTCCGCAACTTAAAATTTCGCCAGGCTCACGGACGCGAAAGTGGCCCGCCCACTGTACAAGAAACTGACCAACAGTACATTGACCGGTCAGTTTCGGCTAAATGCGCGACCAATGAGCTCGCGGTCCATCTAATTCCGAACGAATCAGAGATCGAGCATAGAACTTCTCGATCATATAATCCTATAGACCCGAAGCAAACAGCCACACCCCTAATGCACGCGCATGATACGTAAAAAACATGCGCGGTGCATATGTTGCCATTGAGCGTCCAATCGGGCGCCATCATTGAATTCCCCATCATATACCGAAATGATCGGCCATCAATTCGCGATAAACTAAATTACCGCGCGTGACTGGTTTGTTTTAATCTCAGGATATGCTTTGCCATTGAGCATCCAATTATCCCCGTCCAAATGAAATGGCAACCATATATAAAATAGGACCGCACACTAACAAATATTAGTGAGCATATGATTTGTCCAAGTTTGTGTGCTTAGGGTGCATATAAAACATACTATTAAATCCCATACAGCCATATAGTAAATTGTGTTTAATGAACGCGTTCAAATATGATCGGCAATCCGTAAATCTTGCGCCTGATTAGACGCGCAGTGGCAACAAATGCACCACTCTTTCTCCTGACCAATCGAGCGCGGTCGTTTTGTTGTGTCGGTTCGTTTCGGGGGAAATGCAGTATATGATCGCGAAGTCATATACTCGATCGCTGATTGGATGTTAATTAGATGGACCGCGCGCTCATTGGTCGCGCATTTGGCCGAAAATGACCTGTCAATGTACTGTTGGTCAGTTTCTTGTACAGTGGGCGGGCCACTTTCGCGTCCGTGAGCCTGGCGAAATTTTAAGTTGCGGAACAGAACGGAACACTACCTAGGAATACCACTCGCACGAATAAGGAATTTCGAGGCTACAAATCCCCATAGGGTAATTCGCCGGTGAAAAAAAGCGAGCAGGAATCCCCTGGCGTGGCCACTCGAGTAATTATCACCCAATTTCGTGGCCACTCGAGTAAATCGAGGCCCCCCGAGAGAGAATGAATCACCCGATTGGCCACTGGAGAAATTCTCTCGCTGGTGCTTCTATAATGCAAGTGCTCCTTCTCTCTGCCTCGAGGGTGCACTTTGGGGGGGGGGGGGGGGGGGGGGGGGGGGGGGGGGGGGGGGGTGGAGGCAAAGGTTTATCACTTGCCTCCACCTGGTTACCGGGTTTGTGGAGGACTTGCATTGCATATGCTTTGGGTTTGAAGTGAACCCTACTTAAGAGAAACTCACGAACCATATAAGAATGACAGAAGGTGAACGCGTACAGAGGCAGATCTGTTATACGTAATGTTGCACGGCAGATCGACCAACTGTGTTTATCCAACAGATTCTACAATGGGGTGTACTACAATCCAGTCATCTATGGCTTACAAGCAGATCGCAATGCTAAACCAGGTGCGATGGATCTGCTGCAAGATGCTCGGTTAGAATTCTTGGTAGGTCAATGCCGCATTGCTCGCTGATCCGACGTGGCGTCGTCTCAATGACTCCATAATTGCAATCACTCTCAGCCTCCAAAATCTCGTGCGTAAAACACAATCGAGCTTCGAAAATGCGGCCATTTTCAGGTGCATGCCACATAGCCTGGAAAACGTTTTCAAGTGCATGCCATGTTATTCGGCAGGTGTCTACACTTTACGCGCTTCCAAAGATTCGTTTCGAATTAGCACAAACAGTCTAGAATAGATGCGATTACGGATTACGCAAAGCAAAATCGGGAATGGTTGGTTCTCGACTCTACATTTTCTGACGTCACCAGAAGCAATCATTGCATGTTTGCCCAATTTCGACGCGGATTTATGCTTTGCCCCAAATCTTCTCAAACGAACTTCAAATGTGAAATCGGTTGTACTGTTGACGCGGGTGATGGACGCTGCGCATGGCAAATCAGCACATTTTTCTTGCATGATCCGAAACGTGAAAAACCTGCCCGGGTTCTAATTGAGTTTCCTTTACCGCTATAAGACAAGTATAATAAATGGTAAGTAATGAAAGCTAAGAAATCCTAAGAGGATTATTTTTGTACGGGCAAACTTTAGAAACATTCGGGCAGACTTTTCAAGAAATTATCCTTTCCAAATTTCTGCACGCCCAAGAAAAAAATATTGATTTGCCATGCGCAGCGCTCGTCACCTGTGTCAATAGTACACCTGATCTAGCATTTGAGTTCGTTTAAGAAGAGTTGGGGCAAAGCAGAAATCCGCGTCGAAATTGGGAAAACATGCAATGATTGCTTCTGGTGACGTCAGAAAATGTAGAATCGAGAGCCAACCATTCCCGATATCGCTTTGCGTAATCCGTAATCGCATCTAATCTTGACTGTTTGTGCTAATTCGAAGCGAATCTTGGGAAGCGCGTCATATTACGTTAACAATTTTCTAAGCTGTGTAAAGTGTACACACCTGCCGAATAACATGACATGCACTTGAAAACGTTTTCCAGGCTATTTGGCATGTTCCTGAAAATGGCCGTTTGAAGATGTGACAGGGCAACCATATGGGGAGCACATGGGAGGTGCACTCGTGGTCGTGCGTGCAAGCAGCCAAAATCTGAGGAGGAAAGGTCTGCCAGCGTGGACCATCCCAAACTGAACACGTCTCCCTTTTTTCTCCCAACTGCTTTTCGGAGTGTGGGAGGAGTCAATTGGTGCGCTTCGGTCCGCCATCAGCCGAATGTGTGGGTGAATGGACGTCCTTCTCGAATTTGCTGCTCGACGTCAGGCGAACACTGTGCGGTTCGACTGGCATCGGGCTGGTGAATGGACACAGCTGGAGTAGGTTGTCGAGAGCTCACTCGAGGCAGCTATATAGTTTCTGGATTCTGACAAATTGTATCATCAATCGACTACTTGCTCCTACGCCTTTCGCCTGCAGGATCATCTGAGCTTCTTTCATTTCAAACTATCAGCCCACTTGTCTCAGCAGAGCCAGTCTCAGCTCATCAGCTCAAACACCATGGCCACTTCTCTCGCTGCCCGCCAGGCTATTTCCTCCCTAACATTCAGCACCAGCGTGCGCGGCGCTGCGCTCTCCACCCCTCGCCTCACCGCGACCCCCGCCACCGCCGCCGTCCCCCGCGGCCTCGGCCTCACCACCACAGCGCTTTTCTCCAAGAAGGCCGCCGCGACCCCGGCGAAATCCGCGAAGGCGGCTACCACCAAGAAGCCTCGCACGGAGGATGGAATCTTCGGCACGTCGGGCGGATTCGGCTTCACGAAGGCTAACGAGCTTTTCGTCGGCCGCGTCGCCATGCTCGGCTTCGCCGCGTCGCTCCTAGGAGAGGCCATCGACGGCCAAGGGATTCTCGGACAGCTCAACCTTGAGACAGGAATTCCCATCACCGAGGCCGAGCCGCTTCTGCTCTTCTTCATTGCCTTCACCGTGCTCGGCGCGATCGGCGCGCTCGGCGACCGCGGGCGATTCGTTGACGAGGAGGCGCCGCGCTTCGTCCCCGCGAAGCCCGGGAGCTTGCGGTCCGCGCTCGGCCTCAGCGAGGAGGGCCCGCTCTTCGGCTTCACCAAGGCGAACGAGCTGTTCGTGGGGCGCATGGCGCAACTAGGGTTTGCCGCGTCGCTGGTTGGGGAGGTTATCACCGGCAAGGGCGCGCTTGCTCAGCTGAACATTGAGACCGGTCTGCCGGTCTGGGAGGTCGAGCCGCTTCTGCTTGCGAGCATTGTGATTCTGTTCATCGCGGCGATCAACCCCGGCACGGGCAAGTTCATCAATGACGACGACGAGTAGTAGCGAAATGTGTGCGATTCCGTGTGTTACGGAATAAGTGCGATTGCACGAGTTTTGACATTAGGGTTCCCTCGGAGCTTGTGTTTCTGCCGCAAGGCAATTTTGTTTTCTCGTGTGTTGATATTTTAATACCAAGATCTTGTAACGACCTCAGTGAGATTCCTGGATTGAAAATTACTTCCCACGACGGATGCTGAACACTCTGAACGCCTTCAATCATCAAATCCCACCTATTCTCACTCTGTTCAGAAGAACGCTGGGAACATTTGAAGTAATAGCCAAGTTCTCACCCTCGTACTCTGTAATTGACCATTCGTTCTGGAGTGTGACAGATCTGTGGAGGTAACATGGTTTGT